AGTCACCAAAATTAACTAATATTTCCTGCTAATTACATTTCCTTTTCAGTAATCAATCCATTGAATAACCTGCGCCTAGGACACAAACTAACACAGCCTAACCTGTAGTCCGAGGGTTAATCCTCAACAAGAAAAAATAACTCAAATAAATTGTATTTAAAACAAGAGTTATAGCAACAGACAACAAAAATTGTCTCTCAAGTACAGCTACAAATTATTACATAATCAGGCTTACAAACAACTTCAACGACGGACATTTCCGCTCACAGCAGTCAAATTATCTGCCAAGAGCAGCCAATTCTGCCAACAGCAGCCAATTCGACCAACAGCAGCCAATTATTCATAAATCAGTCCAAATTGGTAAACAGCAGCTAAATCTTCCACAAATCCAACCTATCAGCAACAGAATCATCAAATTAAAATACCCACTAACACAACTAACTGTAACTACCTCTACCTTATTATTACAGCCAGACAACCAGACTATAAACTTCATTCAAATCACTAATAAATTTCCTATTTACATACCTACACTCCCCTTAAATTAAATTTAACAATATTTAGCCTTCTATAAAATACTTAATTTTTTAATTTTAAGTCTTTAATATGCCAAATCCCAGCATCTTGATGCCTTCTCCTTAAATTGTAATATTTAACATTCTTATCATAAGACATTTTTCCTAACACAAGCTAATTGCTTTATTTTTATAATTCAATTTTTCAAGTACTAAGATCTTTAAATCCTATATTATTTATGGTCGCAGTCAGTTTACACTTTTCCATTAGTAAGTTATAGTTATAATATTGTTATACCTTAATAACATATCATCAAGTCATATATGTTTACAAAACTTTTTCAATCATTTAATTATTTTTGTTAATATGACTGTAAACAGAACACACAATCTTTAAATTAAGCAGCAAAGGCAGTATCCAGTATCAGTACACTTTATATTTTTATTTAATAGTATTTAAAACTATCCATCTGCATTAATAAAACTTAAGATAAGGTTATCCTAAATATTGACCACATTAAGAAATTTTATTGAAACACATGGAATTATATTCCACTTAAACACACAGCAAACAGTAAAAAGAGCATAAGACAAACTTGTGATAATAAATATTTTGTTTTTTAACTAAAGTATGGTCACAAAAAGTAAATAAACCAGTTGAGGCGCCAATGTAACGTTTTTATAGTGGGTGTCTAGATAATGATGGGAAGATTTAATAAAAGATTTATTAGCGGTTAAGAATTTGTATTTATCCCTTCAATTTAAAGTTACAATCCCTGGACTAGCTCAGATACAATATATTTTGTAATATAATAATAATAATAAGTTGGGCGCCTTGTCTGTTAGGAACAGACTGTTGTAATAATCACAATTAAGTATCTCAGGGAGTTGTGAGTACATTGGACCTACACATTACTTTGTGCAACCATAAAAGGTTAAATAATTAAATTAATTTGAGATGGTAAAACTTATGCAATTCAATTTAAAAAAAAAAAACAAAGTCCAATCAGGTAGTTATTTAAAATCTATGTCACCGCAGAGACATCTGCCCTGTGTGCACAGGTCAGCGTTGAGCTCAGAACCAGTAGAGAAAGTCAGGCCAAGTGTAGTGTGTAAAGCCACACTGTTGGGGGTATATAGGAGACCTCCTGCCAACAAACACTACATTGTAGAACTAACAAAGGCAGGGATTTGAATCCACCTACAATTATAAGATGTGAAACACTTACCAAATGGAGGTAAAAAAAAACAACATTCAATCGAGCAGCAGCTCAGACCAGCTTGCCAGCCACCTATGCCTTCAGCATCCACCTGTGATATTCGAAAAACCATACTTAGAAACACGAGACAATAAATTCTCAACCTACCTTCATGTGACATTTCTAAATACATTCACAATGCAAGTCTTTTACAATTTTAGTAGGAAACCAGTGAAAATAACAGAGGATCTTACCACGAGGGATAACAAATCCAGCACAGAGTTTCCCAGACAGCAATCACAAATAATACGACCAGGAACGTGTTCTGATTTCAACCTCTAGCTATGCACTGTAAAAAAAGCGAATTGATAAGAAAACGAAATACGTAAACAAAACAACCACTGGCATGAACAAAACCAAGCAACTACTTACCAGTCGAAGATAATGGATCCACAAAAACTAATTTATCCAATGTCAATTCGATCCGGCGGCAATCTCAAATGACAAGTACGACCAAATGAAGTTAACTTTTACATTCGTCCTTTCGAACAGGCAAAGGTTCATATGACATGCAGCCTAGTCTTTAGAAAAACGACAATTTAGACAAAGTGATGAAATCAACGTGGAGAGTAGCGATGGACGATTTACTTTTTTTCCAAGTCCAAAGATCAAATCGACTTGAAATGATCATGATTTGCCAATCGATTTGAGTCGACATGGCGTCTAACAAGTATAATTTTTAACAAAAAAAAACCGACTTTAATCCGGAAACTAAGAAATATTGTTAATACTTATAACATTTGAGGATTTCCCTCGATTTCTCTGGGATACAATCATCAGATCCGGATTCCTTGGTACCACCCTTTGGATATCTCCTTTCCACCTAAAAAAGAATCATCAAAATTGGTTCATAAACGATAAAGTTATCCACGAACACACATAAAAAAAATATATACGATCGAATTGAGAAACGTCTCTCTTTTTTGAAGTCTATTAATAATCATGGATCACGAAATCGGGATACGTTTCATTACAACTCAAGCTCGATTCGCGACTTCGCTTTAATAACTGTTTAGGTTTTAATACAATAAATAAGGGAAAATTACGCAAGCCATCGAAGAACAGGGATGAGTTATTTCGCAAAAATCAAGAGTTTACTTGTCAAATGTATGGTCTTAATCGGTTAAAAAAAATTAACGATACTTACGAATTTTTGGATAGCTTTAGATTTATTCATTAGGATAATAATGAATTTAAGTTACCTAAAAAGGTATTGACGCTTCTTCTCTACCACCATGCGAATCAGAACCGAAAAGTAATTTTTAAGGGCGTGTTACATTGCGCAAATTTGTCCTCACGCTAGCCTTAAAGTTCCAACTACTGAAGAACCCACAGACTGTGGTTGGGAAGAAGTAGACAACCGATTTGAATTTGATTGGTTTTCTGGCGCTCAGTTACCAACGTCGATTAAGGAGATAACCATTCATCCTGACAAAGGTATCAATTCTTTTTTTATACTTTTATTTTTTCATATGATCGTGTTTTACTATACACGTAGACTAATAATTTTTCTTTTCATCTTTTCACAGATGATGATGATGAAGATTTGATCGCATATAACTCTGACAGTGAATCGGAGAGAAGAAATTGATTCAAGCCAAAGCAAGAATGAAAATTATTATTTTTATTGTTATTTTTAATCAATTAATTGAAGTAAAAGTTTATTAATTAAAATATATGCTACAATAAATTATTCATTAATTAATTCACTCATACCAACATTCCCTCTATTATTAAACTTCATACTTGTTCTCAAAACTCTCAAATCAAGCATACTGCTGAATAACTTAAGAAACGTTATTTCCTCCTGGATGAAAATTTATAAGAGGATTATTAAAATACTGTAGTAAATAATAAAAAAAACAATCAGCTAGCTGGAAATCAAGGCAAAAGTCGTCAGCTGATAAGATTCAGTAGGTGATAGATGCTGTTATGTTACACCTTTCAAGGTACCAGCTGACAAACTTTCCACTGAGATACAGTAAGTCGACATAAATTTTCATTCATAGTAGCATATAAACGATCATCAGATAAATTTTTAGTTGAGAAGAAATCATTGAAAATATAAATTTCTTGTCATGTTCAAGCAGCCAGCTGACCTATAATCCACCGTTTTATGGTTAGTTGACTTTGTTCTTCTGTCAAAATACTAGAAAAACTAAAATCTGACAAATTTTCAAATGAGAGGAAAGGACTGAAAAAACTTTTTTTTCCTCCATGCGTGGGAGGCTGCCACCGCCCACCCCACCCACGGTGTCTCAGCTGACGGTCGCGAGTGTTCATAATATAAATCTCTAATGCATTTCACGAATTTTCTATTGGGAGGCACTTGGTCAAAATCTGTCACTGGCTCCCGGACTAATACAGTTTTAATTACCTGTTACGATAAATATGCCCCAAAACAAAAGCATACAATATCGAGCAGGGTAGCATTTTGTATTATAATTTCATGGTTCGTACTATATCCTATCCATATCTTAGGATAGTACGGAATTGTACCATAATTTACATAAATGACCATTATAAATGCCAATCCAACTTTTAAAACAGTTCATTTGGCTGTAATAACGTTGTAACGTTTTAAAAATACTATTTAAGAGTCAAGATTTTATTTCAACTGAGGATATGTTAAAAAAATTAAATTGAATCGAATTGATAAACTTGGAAGAGAAATTAATTAATGACAGTTAAAATCAAAATTATAATGTTTACTATATTTTTTTTACAAATACTATCGTTTTAAATAATTCGTACTATCTTTTTGAACATAACTAAATCCAACCCTGATATCGAGGAATGCAAGCTCTAAGAAACGTTATGTCTGACATATATGTTATAAGTTTATATGTAACTCCTGCGTTTATAAATGAATACTAAAGTATTTACAAAAACTTACCAAGTATCGGTTTTAGAGAACCATTGAGAACTTAGACCAGCTTTACAAGCCACCAGCCAGTGTTCCGATATAAATGTATTTATAATCTGTTTCAAAATGGCTTGAATTGTAATTGCTAGCTTGTTGTTGAATCGCTATTTGTGAAAATCAGGCAATATAATCAGGAATTGTTTAGTGACAAATTAAAAATTGATTAATGTAAAATAACATTTTAGGAACGGGTGTTTTTTTCATTGTCTTACTGTGAAAGTGAATATGGCTATTATCTTTCATTTATTGATGCCGACTCTAATCATCCCATAAAGTCTTAGTTAATTTGGTGTTTTCATTATGACTTCAGTGCAGGACTATTCATGCATATTTTGCAAAGAAAGCTTTGATGATAAGGAGACATTACAAATACATTTTAGGTACCTTTTCTTATGTTTCATAAATTTGCTTGTAACTCATCTGTTTACTACATAAATCCATTTATTTTATTATTATAGGAAACATGGAGATCCAAAGTTTAATCAAATCGCAAAGGCTAGACTTCGTGTCCAGAATGAATCACCGACTTCTCTTGAAACTCCAAAAGATGACAATGAAACTGTCTCATGTGATGTATGCGACGAGGTGTTTCCAACGATATCTAAAGCAATAACACATAAACATAAGGTCCACCCCGAGCATGATGCTAAATATTTTTGTCCATGGTGTGGCAAGCTGTTCACATTAAAGGCAAGGAAGTCTTGGCTATTTGTCTGCTACAACAAATTTTCTACCAACAAAACGAAATTACTTAACAAAAACACTGATATTCCTTTAGTCCAGAGAGTATAGAAAATTATAACTGTTTACAATTTTATCGACTGTTTTTCGAGCTTATAATGAAATAATTCATATGTTGAAATTGATGTAAACACTTACTTTTAATAGAAAAAAATAATTGAATTATTTTATTTTCACCAAGAAAGTATTTTATAGACATGTTATTAACTTCGAAACATAGTACTGCCAACATGTTAAGTTGTTAAGTATAGGAAGTGAAAATTAATTTAAAAACTTTTAATTGGTCTTAACAATGTTGCCCCCACTTTGCGGGGCTCTGTGATAGGTAATACCTACCAAAGACACCTTGGGTATATAAAACTGTACTATGAAACTAACTTATCTGTTTGTAAGTAGAAACATAATTTTTAAACTTCAAATATTATCCTATATTGAATATTGTACACACTGTTAATAGCAGATTTCCATTTTATGACCACAATAATTTTTTTTTAATTTAAATTGAGAGGTTAGCAATTTTAACTTAGTAATTATTTAAATAGTGACATTTCTCTATTAATGAAAAAATTTTTAAAGCTCAAAAAATGGTACATAAGAATGAATTTAAACAATTACATTTCTTGTATTTGTTACATTCAAAAAACATTCTCTATTTCTTAATGTTGGTTGAGTCAACAAATTTTTATTTACTCACACAGAATGATGTCTTAAAGTTAAAAATTGTAATGTATAATGTTTGAATGCTCATATTATATATATTTTAATTAATTTATACTTTCAGCATCTTTATAACAAGCATCTGCAATCAACCCATGATTCTGTTGAATCCAAAACTATCACATCTTTTCACTGTGATTGTTGCAATGTAGACTTCTTTGTACCATCAGCCATGGTATACCACAATAAGTTTTTTCATAGACAAGACACAGACATACCCGCGGTGGGGCATTCAAAGAAAGTTAAGTTAGTAAGTCAGGTCAGTCCCAATAGGTAAATTAAAAAAAATTGTTCAAATTATTATCTCTGCAGACTCAAAGACATTGAATATTTTCAGGAACTGGTACAAATCTTCTACTGCCCTTTTTGTGGTGAGGAGTATAATAACAGGATTAATTTACATGTATGTATATTTTTTTTCTGTGTGAGAAGGTGAAAGGAGATTCACATGATGTTAAGTGATAACTTTAGCTCATTGATATTTTCAACACCCATAGGGTTGCAGATGTGTTGACACCTTTTAATAAAGTGGGCTCCACAAAAGTATAATATTTCCACTTCACGTCAGTCTTCTGTGAGGTTGTAGTCCAGGTAGGATTGACCTGCACATTTGCCCAACAGAGAAGACTTGGGTGGCCCTACCATAGCTAAAATAATTTGACAATGTTTTTATTGTATTTTATATTTTTACTGCACACTTTTATTTTTTATAGAAACATATGACAGATGATCACAGTGATGAAGATCATAGTCCTGAGAATATATTGAGATGCCCTTTATGTGAGGCAGTATTTTATCACTTAGATGCTTATGAATTACATTTAACTTTTCACTCATCAGAAGACCTTTACAGTGAAGAAAATGAAATGTAAGTGTTTTCAGATTAGTAAATTTCATTTTATTGAATTTCAGTACAAAAAAATTCTTATTACAGGCTTAAACAAATAGTTGAATTTTCATTGGATACAGTGCCCCCTCTGATGGAAAAAATGGAAAATCCTGCAAATAATGATGATTGTGAAGATATGGGTGCGATGGGAGTTGTAAGTTCATAATAGTTATTTTAATTTTACTTAAATTTCACCAAGTATTAGTTTCTACAATAGGAATTAAATTATTTCAGGATCAATTTCTTCAATTGACTATGAGTAAAGATCCAGAAGAAAAACATTCGGCATATATGGACAAAATCAAATCAAAAAAACATAAAAAACATAAAAAGTCCAAAAAAACAATAACACTAGATGAGTTTCTGAATATGAATACTGATGTATTTGGAGAAGGTTTAAATGTTCATGGTATAGAAGAGGTCCCTACAAGAGTTGTCACCAAACAATTAAAGCCTAAAAAAGAAAGTGCCCGAAATAATCAAAAGCAAGTGTCTTCGTCTGATATTGATAAATTGAAAAAACAAGGTATCACCATTAAAATGAAGTCCGGAAAAGGGCTTCCCAACAAACTCAGTCAACAACCAAGTACTCCATCAATTAGTAAAGCAAAGCCTATAAAATCCAATGTCATAAGCACATCTAGCGAAGTATTATCAAAACTGATGAATCAGAGTAATAGTCAAGTAAAAATTGTTAAAAGAAGTTCGCCTACAAATGCTAATATGGAGTTCGATTTAAAAGAAATAAACATTAATAAAGAACCAAATATACTTGAAGATAGTACTGCATTTGTTGAAGAAAAGTTAAGCATTGATCCTGTAGAAAATAAAGGTATAGATTATCAGAATTATATTAATAAAAGTAAGAATGAAATATACTCTGAAACACATATTGATTTTGTACTAGATGCAAAGTCAAAAAAAATTGAAGAAATTTGTCACAATTCTCCTGATTCCACATGCCCAGCACAAAGTGAAATTTCATGTCCTAATGATGACACAATAAAAGACAACACTTTAGATGAATCTGATGATACAAAGCAAAATCTAAATATTAATAGAGATTTTCATGATGCGGAGATCATCAACAGTATTAATGAAGTTGATGCTGAACAACCATTAAATGATCTTGAAGAAGGGTTCGCTAGTACTAAAATTCTACGCGGAAATATAACTGATACTACAAAAGAATCTCAGCCAAATGAGTTGAATGGAGAAAAGATTGAAAATAAAGATGATTCATCTCAAGACGTTACTACTAATACATTGAGTGCTATCAAACACCTAAGCGGACTTATTACGGTTAAGTCTGTTGTTAATCATTCCACGACATCGAAAGAAGACGATATCTTAAATTTATCTAATCACAATAATGTTGACGATTCACTCAATAAAGAGGAAAAAAGATTTGAGAATAATGAAACAAGTGCAGTAAATGTATGTAAGTCAGAAAATCAAAAAGAATCCACAAGTAGAACACTGGATGCATTGAAAAATTTAAGTAAACATGTCACAATAAAATCTTTATCATCACAAGTGTCATCACCTCCAAGTAGCGAAGTAGCAAAAAAGTCTAGAGAAGGAAGTGACGGTGAAGAAACTATAAATGAAGAAGAGGAGACGGAACTTCCGATAAAAGGCTTAAAGACAAATATTATTGGTAGAAAAGTTGTTACTCTTAAAAATCAAAATAAACCATCGAGTGTAACAAATAATTCGCAAATAGTAAATGCTGCTAAAATATCAATCACGAAGAAATCCCAAGATGATGAAATAGTATCCGAAACATTTGATGAAAGTGTAAAGAATCCTTCAAATGCAGATCTTTTAAAACGATTGACAAATGTTACTGCAAAACCAATTCCATCAAACAGGCATTTAAAGCGAGAACAAAATTATTTTCAGACTTCTAAACAGTCTTTTAGTACAAAGAATATTTTGAAACAAGAAAAAGTTAATGAGGAAATAGAAATTTTCAATATAGATGATTCTGATAGTGATGGTCAAGAAAAGCCAGATAACACAAGAGACGTCAAAACATCTAAAGCACCGGTAAACCCTATTAACAAAATTCCTAGCTCTGCACCCAAAACGAATGAAGCATTACGAAATATCAGTAAACAAATCACGGTAAAACCCAAGGATCTATTGTCAAAGAGAATAAATCAAAGTTCTTTAATGGACGAGGAAAATTTATCTGAACAAAATACATCATTTTCAGACGAAGATGAAGATTTTGATAACGTTTCTAATAAAATGGATAATGATATGAATCAAATCATGAATCGAAACAATAAAATATTGGAATCTACATTAAAGAATTTAGGAAAAAATATAACAGTGAAACCGAAGAATATGTCCCAAAATATAATGCAAAGAAAATATTTAGAGAGAAATACTGAACAAACTGAGATTAATTTTGAAAACGACTCTGAAAGTGATTCGGATTCTAAAATAAATAAAATTAAAATTACTGAAATAACTGATAACGCTCCCAGTGATCATGAATTCCTATCTGAGGAAGATGAAAAAAATAATAAAAGTTACACTACACAATCTCCAGACGCCTCCAATAACGGTACGGGTGATGATTATTCTGAAGATGAACATTTTGATAAAAATTCTGATATCGAAAGCGATACAAGTCAAACAATGGCTACAGACAAGTCAGGTGAAAGATCTTATCATTCGCCAGCATCGTTTTCATTATCTAAGGAAAGTCAAAAACGTCCTTTGAACAACACCTTTAAAAAAATAAATAACGAAATAACTATTAAGTCATTAAAAGATAAGCAAATTGTTAAAGAGACGGAATCCGACTTTAGAAGTAACACAGATAATTATATTAACGACAGTAAAGAATTGAGCGTTAAGTCCTTCAGGCAAAGTGTCCCTAAAACTAGTATAAAACCAGAAAACGCTACATCGTCATCTATGATCCACCAAACAGCGACATCAGTGAACGAAAAAGCGACAACATCAAACCAAGTAAATACAGTAAATAAAGAAGTGTCAGTAAAGACATTTCAAAGTCAAACAGTGATTGAAGAGATAACAACTACCGTTACAAAAACTATAAGAACTGTTAAGCAAGAAGTTCAAAGTGCAAGCCAAATTAATACAATTCCCACTTTAAAATCGCAAAAAGTTCTAAATTACAATCGTCAAGGAAAAAATACACAACACATAACAGTTAGACATCCATCACCGAATATAGGCACCAAAATTAAAAATACTCCAGCACCAAACAAACCTACCACTAGTGGTATTCGACCACTCAATCAACTGGTTCCTGTACGACATGGGCTAAATTTATCGAAACCTAACCCCAAAACGCCCAACGTAAAAAATGTTAATCCAAAACAGATTCAACAAAAGCCGACAGCGAGTAGACCTTTAAAAATTTCGCCGCAAGCCATGACCCAAACAGTGAAAAGATCGTTGCAAGAAAGTACTAGCCAGTTTAGTGGCTTTAAGAAGCCGAAGGACGCACAAGCCAGAGGCGAACAAGACGGAGATGTCTCAATGCATTTATCTACATCTGAAAGTAAGTCAGCCTTTACAAGCACTATAAAAAACATAAAAGGTCGGTCTTTGGTCACGGCCACACAGATGAAATCGGAAGTGAACACGAGTTCTCATTTGAGTAAGCTTGGCAACGTGTCAGGTCTTAAAGTTGTTAAAACCACCTCTAAACAGGCAACGCAAGTTGAGGAACGGGTTGAAAATTATGGAGCTAAACGGACTATGGAAGCCTTGCAGAAGTTACAGATGCAAGGGCTCTTAGTGAAGAGACCGCGTACTGATGGTGATAACATAACACAGACTGATAATGATTTTTCGAACTCAGAAAGTGAAAATGAGGAAGACGTTTGTGATAAATGATCAGTGCTTAGGTTCATTGCTACTTAGCATTGTTATATTGAAAATAAAAATTCTGTGAGTCAAATTGTGGCACTAAGAATTGCGAAGTTAGTGATTAATCTATTGATTTTTTCTTGCTAGTGTAGGCTACTTTTTGTTAGGTTTAAATTATCATTACTATTAAAAATATAAATGAGTGTATATAATGTGTCCGTGTTTTTGTAAATTTGTAAATACCAAGTTTGAATTAGAAAATAGAAGAAAATGATGATTCGCCCATGATTTGTTATTGCAATATCGTACGCAAAATAAATTCAGAATTATCAACAAAGGTTTTTATCACATGCACGTGACGCAATAAGTAGACGAAATTGGTTTTTAATATTTAATATGTATTTACATAGACATACTATAGTACCAATACATCAAACTGTAATATGAAAATATAAATATTTATTGACCGACATGATATATATAATTATATATATTATATTGATAATATATCCGTTCAATCATCACTTGTTAATCACATTTGAAACCAATAACATTCTTATTCCGATTTCACCTCCACCTTATTTTGTCTCCACTTTTGTTCCTGTAATCATTTAAAATTACAACGAACTTACACAGGTTAGTTCACAAATTACTATGTAAAATAAGAAAAGTTTGCAAATAAAGTAAACACTTGATAACACATATTAATAATGGTTAAAAGTCGTTACAAAAAGAAAAAAATTAAAGTGTGTAGCACCAAACCTTCATCTGTGAAGTAAGCTTAAGCGACAGACCAAAAACCAAATATATTATTAAACAAATACGAATCATTTATAAATGCTTTTACAAGGTTTTTATACTAGGGATTTACCCTATGAATATTTCTTTGTTAATTAAAGACGTACATGTTGAAGTTTATTTTAAATTACGAGTTTTACGGATTATTTCCTTTAAATTATTAATTAACATTTAACGACGTTTATATTAAAAACAACAATAATAACAAATAAGGGTAAAGGGTAACTCGACAGCCGCCAAAGTTTCAATTAAATATATTTGAAACCCTAAAGGGCCGTCCATTAATCACGTGATGTTTTTTTATCCTTTTTTTTTTTATCCTTTTTATTAGTACTTACAGAAAATTTTAAAATTAAGGACAATGATAAAAATGTGATATTTCGTGATTTTTTCCAAACCCCCTCTCCCCTCTTTCGAGCTTCACGTGATTAATGGACGGCCCCTAAGGGACTAACATAAGATGTTGTGGAATAACTGTCGCACTATAGCGTCATTTGATCTTTAGAATGTTCTAAACTAAACGATAGTAATCTGAAAGTCTGAAGCTTCATTGTTGGAAATATAATAGTAGCGGAACTCTGTTTACAGGCGAAAACGTGCAATGTTAATAACATTTATAAATTTTCATAATTATTTAATATTTTAAAAAGTATGAGTATATGGGGGCAATAATATTTAAATAAAAAAACAAACCTACTTATATTGAATTTCATTTAAAACAACCTCACGTACGTAGCGATGTCTATCCCTTGGTTGTTTACTCGTAGCAGTATTTATGGATAGGTTACTTAATGTTATTAAGAACCGTCACTTTTTGTTTCGGGCTTGTTGATTGGCTTGAAAACTATTCATGTATGTAAAATGTCCTTGCAAAACAGGATAGTGTCATCCTACAGCAAGGGGGGCAATGTTTTCAAAGGGAATACTACAAAAGATCTTTCTAGATCGCATTGGTCGTTGTCACTACCCAACCCGTTCCAAGCTAAATACACAATCACACCGGATATAAAGTGACGTGAATTCCAATAGTGGTTCAGCCTCATATCTTAGGAGATGAGGAGTGGTATTTCAAGTAAAGAACAAAAACGTATAGATTAAATAACCAGGATGTCGCTAATGTAGTGTAAGAGTAAGATCTGAATGGTCAAAAAACGTAGTGTAGTGAATGCACACTAACGCTTTTCGGTGCTTTCTTTGAATTGTAGAACTTATGCAGTAATACTTATCTCTGTGTAATCTATTTTATGGAAACTTTCTCTACATTGAGATACCACTCCTTATGGACTAAGAACCAGGGCAAAAACGCTCTGAATATACTAAAGCTGTTTTTCTACCAGTCGGTTATAGAAGTTGTGAACACATCAACACAGTCAAACGAACGGTGGAACAGGATGTTATCGTTACGTTGATAATGAAACGAATTTACTATAACTGAAAATTGTTGTAATGATTATAAATATACATTTCAATAACTGTTATGTCAGTCAACAGGTTAAATGTAAGAATAGAGCTGGTCAGTCAGTCCCAACGTTCATGTACTTAAGTTGCATCTTAAGACAGAAGCAGAGAAATAATAATATTTTTTTTATGCGAAAAGTTGTCAAACGAGCAGACGGTTCATCTGATGTTAAGTGAATACCGCCGCCCATGGACATCTGGCACTCCCGAGGGTTACGGATGCGTTGACAAGCTTTTGAAAATTGGGCTCCGGCTACCTCACTCACCAGACCAAATGCGAAACTATTTGTCATACTTCCACTTTACGCTGGTCTTCTGTGAGGTCGTGGTACTTACCCGGACGGGCCTGCCTATTCGTGCAGCAGCCGAGGCTGCTGCGTAGCCCTAACACCGTTCATTTTGGATTTATACTTCTTTTGGCGCGTTAAAAAATTATGAGATTAAAATATTGGGCACGAATTCCGGCAGACAGGGCGGTGAAGAGAGCCTATATGCGGCAGCCCAGATACCGCTGGAAGGTTGAAGTTGTGAAGGACCTTCGCGCCCTGAACGCAGAAAACTGGGAGGAGATCGCACAAGACAGGGCGCGTTGGCGCCAACCCGTATCGGAGGCCAAGACCCACTTCGGGTCGCTGAGCCAGCGGAGTTAGTTAATTAAAATATTGGGCGTGCAGAGTAAAAATGCACCCGCACACCGATGACCATAAAGCGACATGTTGAAGTTTTTTGCAATGCGACCAACTTCACGGTATAACCATGCCAACCAATTACAACTTTTTGATATTCAATCAATCAAACAGCCTCTTGCAGTCCACTGCCGTATATAGGCCTCCACAGTGCACAATCTACCGCTTTTCTCATCCAGCATTCGGTCCACCCGGTCGGATTCGACAGACACTGCGTTTTCCGAGATGTGGTCTCCATTCGAGAACCCGCTTGCTCCAACGCTCATCGGTTATACTTCATAGCTTGCTACACATGGACAATATCCATGACTATGGTCCTCTTTCGGATGATTACGTTGTGGATTTTATCCCTTGCGAAACACCGAGCATAGATCTCTCCATAGCTCGCTGGGCGACGTGTAATCGGTGGGCCAGCCTCATACTTAATTAAACGGTTAACAATTGCATTCATGTCTTTTTCACAAACAAATAGTACGGGCAACTCTCGAGGGCCGTGGCTTCGATTCCCACACTTGAGCCTTAATTATTTGAGCGAAATTTAAAAACGGGACAGTAAGACTCCGCTGTCTGTCTGTCTGTCTGTCTGTCACCAGATCTCCTGAACCGTGATGTTTAGAACCGTTGGCTCCCATTCAACAAAGATGATTTTTTTGCCGCTTTGATAGATCTAATATGGATACAGAACACTTCGAGCGCGAGTTCGACTCGCACTTTTGCCCGTTTTTAACCACTTTATAATTAAAAACCCATAGCAAATCAAGGGCTGTTTGAAAAAATTCACTACGGGCCCCGCGCTTGCTTAATCCGGCACTGATTCAACAGTTCAATTGACTGACCGCAGAACATATATGTTTATGTACACAACTACTATAGCCAACGGACAGAAAATCAGCTTTAGTAAATTCAGTGCGTTTTTTGCCCTCGCTCTCCGCCTAGAATAATTATTCATAAACAATCACACCGTTCATACAGTTTTGTATGGACAAAGCTAATGCGTCATGATATATTGAATTTAAATGGAAATGAATTGTTTTGGAAAATCGCTTCAAACGTCCAGACAAAAATATTCACATTTAGCGATAAATAAGTATCTTTACGAGTCATCCAAACATACCAAGATAGTAATTTCATTGGACAGCCGATACGCGATAGCTCGCAATTTGTAGCGAAGTTTCAATCCGCCTTTTATTTTCTTTTTCAAAGTTTGCAGTATCGTGTACATGTTGCAACAGTGTAGCACAAGAAACAAAGCTGCCAGGTAAGAAACCTGTCAAACGTCGCAAAATAAATAAAACATAATTATGCAAAACAAAAAAGCTGCAACTGAAAGACAAATTTATTAATCCAGCATTTTAACAATAAATTAAGTATAATTACTATATATTAAAATACGTTAAAAAATACAGAGCGTAAGTACAAACACTTCATAACACCATCATAATGTTACATTATAAAAATCCAGCACTATTTCTTAAGGTTTTACATAGCCAAAATATTTTTTATAGATTCTATTAAAGCAACGTATAAATGTGATATGTAAACGTTATAATATTTAAATGTATTAACCACAAATTGACTAGGTATGTTAAAAGTAAAGGTATTTTACAATGACATGTGCTCAAATGCAGTAATAACTTCTTTAAAACAAAGCTGAATATCTCGTTCATAATTAAACAAAATAATATTGGATATGATGATTGAAATGTTATATTTAATAAAAAAAAGTTTTGTTTTGTTTTGTTGTACATTTAATCCGGTATGATTGACAATTTAATCGAGTTTTTATATTCAAATAAAGTTCACTCAGCGTTTTTACCTACTAGGGAATTATTACATTTTTAGAAATAGAAAAATCTAGATCTTGTATGTCATAGTCACTGTTGGCTTTTATAAAGGTGCCCAAATTCACACAGGAGGTTCAGACTCGGTAGTATAATCGTTTAATGAAACAAACCTTTTTTCCAAAAAAATTGCCATTCTATTCCCTAAAAAACAGAACTTGTTGACAATGCGGTAGTCATTCATAAATGCTGCGTATACTTTTGAAATGAACTTGTATGCGTGTTAGTTACGAATGATCGAATTACGAATAAATGAGTTTGATGAATAAATCACGCAATTTCCAAAATAAGTTCAAGTGAATTTAATTAATTAAATAAGAGTGATTTTAAATATTTATCGTTTTTTATATAACTTTATTTATGTCTAGATTGTAATTTAAAAAAATGGATACACTTAGAAAAGCCTCCCTGTATACATGCCAATATTTTGGGTGCTCTTACGGATACATTTGAAAGACATTAGTAAGCCTTATTGTTTAACCTTAAGATTGTATTGAACTTTACGATAAACAGACTAGAAGACATAAGCAGTCCGTTTGTTTTTAATGCAAATTGATCGTATACATCTCTAAAGAAAATTGCGATGTAATTTTAACAAAACTATTTCTTTGTATTCACAAGTTCATATTCCTCACATAAATACAGTTTTTTCTTGTATATATTCACTGAACATAGAAATATTTATGGAAAAATTATAATAAGTAAACATTTGGTAAATATAACGTGTAGGTACAATAAAATGAAAGACGATGACCACTTTTATAATTATGACTAACCACGTTTGAAATGTCACATTTGAAAATGTAAGCAACTTAAAGTCTAAAAGTTACGAACTCACGACCCCCAGAGCGAAAGCACTATTTGCTTAGCAACTGCGCCACCATATCGTTAGACACGGTATATACCCAATTACCCACTGATGATTATTAACAAATACATATGGGTACACAATTTGTCTATAAAGTACCAGCTACTTAGGTATCAGTTCAGTAGACAATATCGGAACTAAAAACCGCTCTTATGAAATTTCATTCCGATGACAGATTCTAGTGTGAATACTCTCTGTGTTTTAACAACCTTTAAAAAATTATGCTCGACTAATTATTTTAAGTTTTGTCATTTATTAATGAACAATCTCCAAAGATACAATTTGAAAAAGTTTTACAACGCGTTGCTGCTGCAACAGGTCAGTGTTTTTTGATATTGGAATATAAATTAAGAATATAAAGTTGGAATATTTGTCTACAAATGAATGAATGAAGAGAAACGAGCTGAAAAAAACCAGTCAAGGCCGAATCGATCTCGTATGTCAAGGGTTCTGTACCTACCTGCTGTGCCAAATTTTATGATTCTAGGTCAACGGGAACTACGGTATAAGGTTTACGACCCAAAACCTATAGGGTACTTCCGGTTAACCTAGAATTGTCAATTTTTTTTAAAAGCAAGATCTTACAGCACAAGGGAAAATTTTCCCGAAAATCTAAATTTGCCCAAATCTTTTTATCGAGTGGACTCGGGACCTTGATTTTTATACAACAAATAGGGACCATATACCTCAGTATCTGGTATAAATTTTACTTGCTAGGTCCACCCGTTCCTGAGAAAATCGGTGTTGACACGCGGACAGACTGACGGACAAGAGAGTGATCTTATAGGGGTTCCTTTTTTTACCTTTTAAGGTACGGAACCCTTAAAAGCAATATTAAAGTTTCTACTCCTGGTAAGCACAGACACACTTTGGATAATAAATAACTTATAAACATGCTTAAACATACTTTTTCTTTTGTAAAAAAAATACATATTATAAATAACCAAAAATCCAAACGCTGGAAAAACACTATGTTTAACATACAATTTTTTTCAGTAGTCGGGATCGAACCCACACACTCTGGCGCAAGAGGTAGGTGCACTAAGATAATTCTGATCATTAAGAAGATCATTCTGATCAATTCAAATGGTTTACCCATCCTTTTGGCAACAGTTATGACATTTGACAGCTGATTAGTTAGTAAGATCAGTGTTTGAGAAACCGGGCGTAAATGCTCCCTTCGCGATGCCGAACAGCTCTACTGAACAGATAAGTTGGTGGCACTATACCTACTTTTACAGTTCTAAACAATTGACACACATATGTAGCACTCAATTTTATCCAAATAAAATATTTGTTTTTATCCAATGATAGCCTGCAGCTTTAACAAATAAATTCTACACTATAAATAAAAATCAACGTTCAATTAATAAAGATTTTTTAATACAATTAAAAATATGAATTTTTGGGCGTATATGGTCATAGTCGTTTCGTTATCCGTACTACCTTAATGAGCAAAGTTAAATAGAATAAAAGTATAAAGCAGATCTTGAGTAATAATTACATTGAATTTCATTTTCATTATTACTATTTTATTAATCTTTGTAGATCCTGAGATTGAGATACGAATTTATTTTCTATTAACAGATCAATAGTGCATACAGGGAGGCTTTTTAAAGGTGCCCAAATTTACACAGGAGGTTCAGACTCGGTAGTATAATCATTTATTGAAATAAAAACAAACTTATTTTTTCTCAATAAAATTACCATTCTATTCCCTTAAAAATTCCCTCAAGAACTTGTTGACAACGCGGTAGTCATTTATAAATACGTAAATTTTACTGTTCACGCACACAAACGAACTTGTGTGCGTGTTAGTTATGAATGATCGCGCGTAAAATAAATGAGTTGCGTATAAATCACGCACTTTTTGAGATAAGTTCAAATGAATGTAATTAATTACTTACGAGGGATTTAAAATATTCATCATTTTGTATATAACATTATTTATGACTAAAATTTAATTAAAAAAATGGGTACACTTAGAAAAGCCTCCCTGTATATAAACCACAAGCAACAAAGAAACATTCATTTTATATATTAATTCAATTAAAAAAACAACATACTTTTTTAAAACAGAACATGACTCAATATTGTTAGTTTCATTTTTTATAAATTATTTATATTAATCATAATGCAATACACTTTAGTACTATGTAGCCAGCTACATAAAATAACTAAGCTTACTGCAAGTTTTAATTACATGCTAGATGTGCACCATAAAAAAATCGAAGCACGAATTGAAATCAATGCATTTTATATGGTTTCTTATTAAAATCCTACAGTTTTTGATAGGATTTACCAAAAAAATTATTGAAAACAAAGTTAAAGTTTAAAAGGTATAACATAGCTCGTTAATATACATTGACAAATTTACTTGACATACAAATTGAGATTCATAAATATTTACATTAAAAAAATCAAAAAGTCTTAAGATTTGGATAATCTGTATATATATGGTCACAATAAATCAGAAAAAATCGAGAAAAAATTGTATTAATGGTGATATTCATGAGCTTTCAAGTTATTTGATATGTTATATATCTTTGATATTATTGCTGACTTATCTACATATTATTAAAAAGTTTAAGCGTTTTAATAAAACTGGTGATTAATAATTAAAATAGAGACATAACATTCTGAATTCCAAAAAGAATGACACATCTTTTAAATATATATTACCGATATCGGTCAGTTAATATTTATTATCGCATACGAAAACTTTTATTAATATGGTACACTGAAAGTAGAAAAAAATAAAAACAGTTTGCAAAGTTATAAATTTCTACAAATTTATTCCCTTAATATTGCTCCAAAACCATAAAAAGTGTTTGTGTTGTCTTTCATCAAGTAAACATAATAATTAATCTTTCAGTGTTTCCATATTTGTTCTAAATAAATTTTACAAGTCAGCTAACTACTTCACTAATAATACGTGCGTTCGATATTCAGATAACTCGTATGTTACACTGTTACCTGCTCGTTGAGTTTTTGGGGTATAACCATAAGAGTTGTTGCAGTGTTGCCAATGCCAATTGTCAGGAACGATATACTTAAAGCTGGCACCTGTTATTTTGCATGGTATATGGGCACATATTATACATCATGAAGATATTTTAGTTGTAAAGTAATAATTATAATTAAATGCCAATAAAATCATTATAATTTATCAAGAATCTGATATTATTCCTATGGTATACTAAGATCATTAATAAATAATATGAATGTGACATTTATAAACAGCCTCAGAGTTATACTTCAACTACAACTCGTAAACCAGAGCCAATGGATAAGAAAACATTACATTGAAATGTTTAAACAGATCATGTAACATTAAAATTTTACCACATTAAAACACTCATAACAAAAGATTCATGATTAGCGGAAAATATTCTATCATTTACAGTAGGTAGGGCTGCCTTCTCTTCTCACTATTATTATCTCGACATAAATTAAAATGACATCAATATTAAATCAAGACATTTAAAAGTTTCCAGAAACAATTGCTCCAAGCCTGGGTATACATTTGTTAATGTTTAGGAATAACCCCACAGCATTGCTCTGTTCCTTAGCATGGCAGTCATGATTAGGGAATATAGTAATATATAACTTAGTCTCATATTGTCTTCATTTTCAATAAAAATGCATAATACATAAATATGTACTACACGCTCAGCCTGAGCTCACGAATGAAATTATTGTTAACAATTCAGAGCATTACTCTTGACTATTAACAACATTATGAATAGTGGGGTGGGGAAAAAGCCTTATTATCAAATTAAATGTTCTTACATACCTGCCATGTGGCTTCTGGGTGATAGCTTATATGGTACAAAGTATAAGCAATGTAAAGTTGGAAAATATATCCGCCAAAAAGGAATGGTAAAAGGTATGACAGTCCTCTCCACATCCAAGAGTGAAAACCTTCTATTGTTATGTCCATATTATGTCTTGCACCAAGTGCTTTCAATCTGTACAAAACACCACTTTGATACCTGAACTGCATATACTGAACTACACCTGGAAAAGAATCTAAGTTATTAATATAGTATATATATATATATAAACAAAATTGAATCCCATTTAAATCAAAATATGTATATCAACATTACAAAAAACGAACTATTACAAAAATACTGAACTCTGATGATATATATAATTTGGAACATCTGTACTTACTGATATAAGCAATAAACCACATAAAGGTATGTCTAAATTCATTCCAGGGTTCGTTTTGTGGCCAAATGAGTAATATTCCAGAAACCACAGTCGATATAAAGTGATGCATTCTCCACCAGCCTTTAATTCTTGATCCATTGACTTTCAAAATGCTTTCCCGTATTGTTAGTGTACAATAATACCATACTAACAAGAATATCAATATTAATTGAAGAGGCCTGAAAGATTCAGATTGTAATTATTTAAATCGTTAGCATTGACAAATTCAGAATCAACTGACAATATAAAGTCTTGTATCTTGTATTAACTGATGTTTTTGCTTTCAGTCCCAAGACTATTAAAGCTTCATCTGACGCAGAACCGGTGGGCTAGCCAGAACCCACGGGTTTGGGCCCTCCGCTGTGGGTAGGGCCACGCATGTGCTCATGCGTGCGTTTAACTATGGTGTGTCATCTAAGGGCCATAGAGGTCTTGGTTCGGACCGAAACCCCGATGGCCGTCGACTGTGCAATTAGCTAATCGGTGGCTGGGGGCGGTGAGAACCGCCCCGGAACGCGGGTGTACCTGTGTACGCGTTGTGTTGGTCTCGCCGTGCTCGGAGGCGAGGGCGAACTAGTGTGTTTGTTGTTGCACTAACTGTGGGTGTAGTGTTGTCCGGCTTGACCCCCGGTGGTGGGTCCGGCGTGTCTAAGTCCCCTTCCTCGACCGGGTCGATTAGGACGTTTCGCGGGCGACGCTTGTTGACGTTCGCGTTTGTGTCAGGTTGGTAATTTGCTGCGCTTACCACCAGTGGGTTGGGATGATGATCGGCTCTATCGAAGAACCGTTTGGTCAGGTCTTTAAAATATTCGCGAATCGTCGGGAGTCTGCAATCGCTGTGCAGGTCGACGTTGCGTTGATACCACTGCGCACCGGTTGCGCGGCGGATGAACTTATTTTGTACTATTTGTAACTTGTACAAGCGAGTAGGGTGCGTGTGGGCGAAGATCATGCATGCGTAAGACATAATAGGTCGTACGCAGGTCTTATATAATAATAATTTGTGCCTTAAGGGCATTTTACTTTTAGCGTTAGTTAAATTGTGTAGTCGGCCGGAGACGAATGCGGCTCTATTGCGAACGTTATTAATGTGCGTATTAAATGACATACGCGAGTCGAAAGTGACTCCTAAGTATTTGACATTTTTCTCCCAGGGGAGCGGTTGGCCATAAAGGGATATTTGCCCCAACTTTCTGCATTGACGAGGGCCATTATAAAGATGTGACGGGTAAGTACTTCGTGTGAAGTGAATCGCCACACTCTTTTCGGGATTTATTTCTATTCTCCATTTGCGAAACCAATCGCCGAGGCGGTCGGCAGCGCTTTGGAGTCGAGTGGTTAGTTGTCTAAGGTTGCGGTCTGAATAAAAGAGCGCCGTGTCATCCGCGAAAAGCGCGAGATTGACGTGGGGGTCTGTAGGTATATCGCTCGTGTAGAGCGTAAAGAGCAAAGGTGAGAGGCAGGAGCCTTGTGGTACGCCGGCCGTGAGGCGGCGGCTTGTGGAGAGGGTGCCCTCTACCCGATATCGAAAAGAGCGGTTCGACAGGAAGGCCCGGATGGTGTGTACGAGCCTATCTGGCGCTTTGAGTGTGTACAGCTTGTAAAGCAAGCCGTTGAGCCAAACTTGGTCGAATGCTTTTGCGACGTCGAAGAAAAGAGCCCCTGTACTAATATGTTTAGGGAGATTTAGGCCTTTTAGGATATGTTCCGTTAGGCGGAATAGTTGATCGGGACAGGAATGTCTAGCTCGAAAGCCGAATTGTTCCGCCGGCAGAAGGCCGTTGGAAAACACGTGCTCATTGAGCCTGTTTAATAAAAGCCGTTCGTAGAGCTTCCCCAGGCAACTGAGGAGGCTGATGGGACGATAACTAGAGGGCTGGTTGGCTGGTTTATTCGGCTTGCGAATGCCGATAACCCTGGCTTCTTTCCAGTCGTCCGGAAAGGAGCAACTGGAGAGTAAAGTATTGTAAATGGTCGCCAGTAAACAGATAAGCGGCCCAGGGAGAGCTTTAAGAATTTTGTTACTAATATTATCTGGGCCCGGGGCGGATTTGGGTTTTAAGTTTTTAATAATATCTTGAACCTCTTCGGGGGTCACTGAATTCAAAGGATCGCCTTCCGGTGGAAGCGCAGCCCTAATCTCGATTAGGGCTGCGCTTAGTCCACCTCCGTTAGGTGGGCTGTATCGATGTGTTCGCGCGATGGCGTACATTGCTGCTCTAGGTTGTCCGCAAGGCATTCGGCTTTTTCGGAGTCATCTAGGGCTACTGAAGCGCTATTAGGTCGAACTAACGGCGGTAGAGATTCGCGGGGGTCTGCTTTCAGACTGCGGGCCAATCGCCAGTAGGCGGTGTGCGATGGCTCGATGTCCTCTAGGAGTGTCCCACGTTGTATGTCGGTATTCCGATACACGATCTTTGACTTCTAGCTGAAGGCGTCGAAGTAGGGTTCGGTTCGATTCCGATCGGTATCGGTCGAAAGCGCGTTTGGCTGCATTTTTCTGCCTAATTAGCAGTCGCAGGTCGGGCGGAAGGTTAAAACGTCGGTCGCTCGACAGTTTAACCGTCCGTTCCGAGTCTGCGACTGTGGAAGTGATGGTTTCTCGGAGACTTGCTATCGCTCGATTTGCGTCATCGAACGTAGCTATCGTCCCGGGTAGGTCGACTAAGTCCTGGGGGTCCAAGGCCTTGAGTTTGACCTCAAGACGATGCCAGTCCACTACGGATTTGGTCGGAGGGACCGCGCCGGCGTTCTGGCCCAGTTTACACAGGACGGGCCTGTGATCTGAATCTAGTTCATGGATTGTCTCTATCGACTCGATGTCGAGCGAGACCTCCTTGAATAACATGATATCTAGGATTCTCGGTGTCGCGTGTTGGTAGTTGTCCACCGTAGGATACCTAGTGGGAGTCGCAGGAGCAATTATGCTAAAGTTTAAATTATCGGATAAGCTAAAGAGATGCTTTCCGTTGTTATTTGGGATGCTGTGGATGTCCCATGAGCCGTGTTTGCAGTTTAGATCTCCTGCAATTATCACGGAAGGACCTAAGTTAAGTAGCGTATCTAGGTCGCTTTGTAATAAGGTTTTGTTCCCCGAGAGGTAGGCTGAGACTAGTACAAGCGGCCTATGGCCGGTGAGCGCTAACCTACACGCGGATGCCTCTATATGGCTTAGCTCTGGAATGTCGAGCGGGCTACAGTGCAAGGACCGTTTGTAATAAATTAAGGTGCCTCCCAGACGGTTTGCTAACCGGTCGTGGCGGACTATGTTGTAGTTTGCGATTCTGGGATCGCGTACACTAGGTTTTAAGAATGTCTCTTGCACTAAAAAAATATCTATGTTATAATCGCGAAGGAATTCCGCGATTTCGTCCCTTTGACCCTTTATGCCGTTTGCGTTGAAATACGAAACAACCAGAGCCCGAGGTTTTGTTCTACCTGCGGTTGTACTTCCCATTACAATATAAAGTTTCAAATGTATCAGCCATATGATGATTTAAAAGGTGATACCCAAAAATTTCATTGGTTATACCATTTATAGTAAAAGTGCAGCATGTACGCTTCAAAATTAGATTACACCTGAAATTCTATGGTTCCCCGCCAGAATAAGATTCTATGTGAATTCAGGAGTGTTTTTTTTATGCGATAAGATGGCAAATGGCTGACGGTTCACCCGAATGTAAGTGATAATCGCCGCCCATGGACACTTGCAACACCCATAAGATTGCAAAGGCATTGCTACCTTTTATTGAAGTGGGCTCTGGCTACCTCACTCACCAGACGAAACGCAGAAGCGTAATACTTCTACTTTACGCCAGTCTTCTGTAAGGTTGTGGTACTTCCCCGGATGGACCCATCCTTTCATGCATCAGCCAACTGTTGCGTGGCCCTACCACTGTTAAATGAGGTATTGCCTTTATGCTGAACTGCTGACACTGAAAGGCATATTTCTAGGACAACAATAATTTTTATTATGGGCAATAGTCAGCAGGTACCGTAGCCTGTAGGTATTAACAATGCTTTCATTGATAATTCTTACTAAAGGTACAGTAAAAGTTGTCTTAGAGATTGTTTATGTTGGGAGTTATTGCCTTGTTTGCAAACAGCCATTACTTCATAATTATATTAAATGTTTCATGAATAAACCTATTTTATCATATATTTAAGACATTTTATCGCATTTACAATAATTTCTTTAACATTGTACTCTGACCATGAATACTATTGTCATTGTCATCTTACTGTCCTTATCCCACCTAGGTGGGTCTCACCTTTGTGGGTCACACAAATACATGTCCCGTGGAATCGAACCTACGATAGTCGACGCCGAAGCCAATAATTGCTAATCAATGGCGCGATTGAGGCATGACCATGAATACTATCGTATTGAAACAAAATAAAAACCAAAATTAAACAGGGAAAAATTCCCGTTACAATATGTAGTGCTTGCACAAAAGGAATCAATACAGCATTGTATGTTGTTAAATAAAACTATTGTTGTGTTTTTTCTGTAACCATAACATTGTTTTATGGTAACAAATCAATTTTAAGTAAGTCTTGATGCAAGACATAAATGGATCTATGTCTTAAAAATGGCTCCATTACTAAGTGCTTAAATAGGTATAAAATCAAGGGGATTATTATTTAAAGCTAAGACTGAACTTCCGTAAAAATAGATTACTTACTTAGCATACACAATAAACAAGGTTTTAATTTTCCTAAATTAATTATTGGTAAATAAAATCATTAATATTATAATAAATGTTACATTACCTGAAGTTTATGTATAAATTTCCAACAGCTAAGACAAATGCAATTGCGCTTAGAATTAACTTGAACTTTTCATACTCATCCTTATATTTGAATCTGAAAAAAAAAAGGTATGAATTTTTGTATACTATATAAATAAAATTATAGTGTTTATGAAAAAAACTTTGTAAATGTTTTAGTCTGTCCAAAAGATTGATTAGATGTGGTAGCAGTTTCAAGTTACAAATTTTAACTAGGTTTTAATTATATGACCTTCAACAGTAGTAAATCAACACGATTGGCTAACTAAACGGAATTTAAAAGAATAGCAGAAAAAGCATGGATAAAGCCATTTTTGGCCATTCATTTTGTTACTTGTGCATTTGTACTTGATCCATAGTTCACAAAATTATAAAAGAAGGAAGAAGTGATTGGAAGAAATTCGAACAATTGATGGTGTAACATTGAAAGATATCATAAAAGATTTGTTAGGCAAACATTTACCAACAACAATAGTGCTATACTGAGTTAAGGTCAGAGCTGGGTAAAGACTGCAAAATCAAATACATATAGAGGAAAAATAAAGTGTACAAGAATCTAAGAAACCAATAATCTATGCATATTACTTATCTGAACAACAAGTGAGTTTATCAATACCATACCGATTGTTCTTACACAAAAATTACATTTCCTAAACTTACTTATCATTTTTATTCAATATTGAAACATTAACATTTCCCAGGATAATTTTTAAATACAGACTATTTTGTTTGGGCAGGGTAGCTTCTATTTCATGAAGCATTGCTTTCCTTTTCATAATCTCTTTCTCAAGGTTTGCAACTCTTTCATCCTTTGTTAACGCTTTTTTCTCTAATCTGTAATTATTCAAAAACATAAAAATAATGTAAATTAGCTGTAGCATTAGCTAGTTTCACATGACTTACTTTAGTCACATCTGTGGCAGTTTAATTTCCGTTTTTATAAAAAACAGGAAAACGGTATCGCTTTAGTATCCGGTCGCACGCGTAGGGAGAGAGGAGAGAACCCCTCTTTAAGGAGGGGGGGATGCGAAAACGTAGTTTCTGAAATAACTTTGCCTGACTTAAGCTATGTTCCTATGGTTGTATTACTTTACAATCAGGTGGTGGGGGGAAGGGGTCTATGCCTCTTGGCAACATTGAATTGACAATATTCTAACCAAACCTGATCTGCCATTATAGGTCGGACGGTGCTTATTTCTGGGTGGCTATTAAAAAAATAACTATGTTTTTTTTTTTTTTTTTTTTTTTTTTTTTTTTTTTTTTTTTTTTTTTTTTTTTTTTTTTTTTTTTTTTTTTTTTTTTTTTTTTTTTTTTTTTTTTTTTTTTTTTTTTTTTTTTTTTTTTTTTTTTGTTTTTTTTTTTTTTTTTTTTTTTTTTTTTTTTTTTTTTTTTTTTTTTTTTTTTTTTTTTTTTTTCTTTTTTTTTTTTTTTTTTTTTTTTTTTTTTTTTTTTTTTTTTTTTTTTTTTTTTTTTTTTTTTTTTTTTTTTTTTTTTTTTTTTTTTTTTTTTTTTTTTTTTTTTTTTTTGTAGGCTAGCCTTATAATAACTAACCTGTTTGATTTGGATTGCTCTGAATCGGGCTGCCAACCATAATGATGATATCAAAAAACTTAAACAACTTGAAAGATCTTTTTAATGGTCTTACATATTTATCTCAGTTCTATTTTCTTTTCGGGGCCATCACTTCTGCCAATACTTTCTTGTTGATTTAACTTAAAAAGTAATACTATTTAACTCCTATAGTGACCAGTCACACCAGACTATAGAAACCAGTTGGTTTAATTTATTAGGTATTACTTTCTCGAAAACTACTTAGTGCAATGGTCTATTACCTACATATACCAATTTAAAAAATGCTACCGGATACTAAAGCAAAGCCTGGAAAACTCATTAGTCCAATTAAATTTATATTAATGAAACCTTGCCACAAGGGCGTAAATACCACAACCTCTCAGAAGACAGGCACTATACTTCCATGTTTCGTCTGGTGAATGAAGTAGCCAGCCTTTTAAAGTTGTTAACATCTGCAACCCTATGGGTGTTGCAAATGTTAACAGGTGGCGGTTATCGCTAGACATCAGCTGAACCTCCAGCTCTTGCCTCCTTACATAAAAAAAACATTTTAAGTGATTAATAAGTTAAGTTGTCTTTCAATTCTTTTCAATTTTAACTCTTTCAGATTTATAATAAACCACATGGTCTTATCTTATCAAAAAATAAGAACTCACTAATCTTGGTATTTGAAATAATTGTGTGCTTTTAGGTACTTCTTATGCTACTACTTAAAATATTGCCAAATAGGCAATGCATTCGAATATTAGGAAGGTTAGTTGGTTATCAGTTTTTGCATTAAATCTTACAGTATTTTCTGGGTGTGATAAGAAAGCCTGAAAAGTATTTTACTTTTCATATCGATAATCAATTATATTCCTCTATTTTGTAAAATAAGGATTTAAGCTTCTGCGGGGATAAAATAAAACAAACATCTTTATTACAAATAAATATAAACTTTTTTTGTAAAAATAAAATGTCAAATGACATTATTGTTCATGTTTTAATGAATTCCATAATTGTAAATTTATATGTATTTTAAAACAATGAACCAAAACTTTTCTAAAGGTTCAAAATACTGTTGTTGTTAGATATATAGATATATAAAACACAGCTGTTAATGAAAAACATGTTTATGAATGTGTAAATAATATGATAAATGCAAATGATTATGATAATCTCTGATCAATTCTGACCTTTTGAGTGCTGATGTGATAACAGACATGCGATATCTTTGATGACTGAGTTCTTTCATGCAAGTTGCCTGCAGCTCCCCAACTTCTTCCAACTTGGTTGCATAATCTTTATTAACTGCCTAAAATTAATGGGCATAATACACATTTACATTTTATAGAAAAACTCATGATTCCATTTTGCTGCAAATATAACTACTATAGCATTAAGATTTAAAAATTCATAACATATGTTTGTATATTTACAAAGGTACCTATTCAGCTCATAATGAAGCAATAAAAGAACCACTTCAACTTTGGTTTCTGGGGGATTTTATTATTACAGTTGTAATAATTCAAAAAGCCATCTCTTTAATTCGATACATACATAACTTGAATAAATAAAAAAAATTGTGATACCTACTTGCTAAATTATTTAATAAATGAAAAAAAAATTAACAACGTATATTATTAACTTGCATGGAATGTAAATTAAAGTTTGAGAAAGATAATGTTAGGTATAAAGTTCATCTAAGGTATCTAAATAATAATGTATAGACAGATAGAAAATATACCTCAAGTCGTTTGTAGTCCGCAATCAAATCTTCCCATTCCTTTAAACATTCTTCAACATCCATTTTAACTTGATATAAATATATTTAGTATTGTTGTAAAACGAAAATGGACACAATCTCACTAATAGAAAACTTCAAATCTCAAGCTCATTTCCCAATTTTACATGTGTCAATAAGTCATATCATTTGTCAAGGTGTTTTTTTTTTTTTTGGATTTTATGGCCTGGTATCAAGGACCTTTAGGCCAATGTCAAGGTGTGTCATCAAACAGTAGGGCTAGGGGTGGACGTTGCGACTTGCGACGACGAACCGATTACAAAACCCGTTTAGTGTTTCTCTGCGACGATGATTCTCCATCTCACTTCCTAGGTTCAAGCAGTCCTCGTTGCACAAATCTGTCTTCGCATTACTTGGTGTATTTTTGTTCACCTGTGAAAATACCGTCGAGAACGCAATGATTTAACTATCCATCACAGTGATAATGAGTTACCAATGTATTACCAGTTGTCAATTCAGTCGTTCGTGATGCAATGGTCTAACCCTTGCAAGCTTATGTCGGATGACTTAAAGTTCTAAGTCGAATTTAATGAACAATTAATTGAAATAATCGCAAAATTCCCTGGAATTCGAGCCAATATTATTTCATGTGTTTCTTTTTTTTGAGGCCAGAGAATCAGTTGTTAATGAAGCCTAATGAGAGCTTTAGTAGCTAATTGTTATAAATGAAAGTAAAAGTATAAAATGAAGTTGATTAAATCGTAAAGTAAAGTCGATATTTTTAGAATTCATACTGAATTTAATAAATTATTTCGTACATTTTGAAATAATTGTAAGAACTATGTAACTATTTCGCTCAACGAAAACTTCGTTATTGCAATTCTATTTCATGTAAGATCGTTTTGCGCAACTGTTTCCGTCGTCGGCTGTGTTTCGTCTGTAAAAATTGGAAAATGTGAATCGCTAGCCTGTTGCTGTTTTTAAGGTTCCGTACCCAAAGGGTAAACTGGGACCCTAATACTAAGACTCCGCTGTCTGTCTGTCCGTCTGTCACCAGGCTGTATCTCATGAACCGTGATTGTTATACAAGTGAATTTTTCACAGATGAAGTATTTCTGTTGTCGCTATAACAACAAATAGGTACTAAAAACAGAATTTAAAAATAACTGATAAATAATGCAGCAAACATGAATTTTTTCAGTTTTTAGGGTTCCGTACGCAAAGAGTAAAACGGGACCCTATTACTAAGACTCCGCTGTCTGTCTGTCACCAGGCTATATCTTATGAACCATGATAGTTATACACTAGCCAGTTGAACCGGTCCGCACCGAACCTCGATAGCCCGTAGGCGACACTCCTTAGCTAACGCACACATGAGCATATGCGCGACTCTAACCTACTGTGGAGGGCCTCAAACCCGTGGGTTTTGCGTTCGATTAAACTTTAAGTCTCGGACTGACACCGTTAACATCAGTTAATACAATAATACAGTTAGGCACTTTTAAAATAAAAATAGAATAAAAAAAATATTTATGTGGGGCTCCCATACAACAGACATAATTTTCCCCCCGTTTGTATTGATAATGGTACCGAACCCTTCATGAGCTTCGTTCGCCTTGCACTTGTTTGTTACCGTCAGCATTGTAGTTCACATCCCCATGCAATGTAGGGATGTCGAAAAGGTTGTGGTATACCAATATTTTTGCTTCTATATATCGATATTTTCAGACGATGTTCCAATATATCATACAAAATATTCAATATCGAAAGTCGTATCAAACGATATTTTATAAAAACTTTTCCCATAAAAGTTATTTATTCTTATCTTAAAAAAAACGAAGGTTTTGTTTTAATTGTAAAAGCTTATTAATATATATTTTGCCCAAAAAGAATATATAGCCCTCATAGCAGATCCTGTTAGACCCTGTTTGAAATTTAATTTTTTATAGTGCAAATCTCTGCACTTAAGATGAAACATTAAAATTTGTAGAAAAAAGGAACGAAAAGTTTCTCGCCGCTGTGGGAATCGAACCCACGTCTTCGGGATTCACGCCCTGACACTAGCCACTAAGCTAACGGCTGACTGCGACACCGACGAACGAAATTAGCACTATAGAAGTTTTAATTTCAACAATTTCTGTGACTAAATTGTCGTCTACACTCATAATATCGATGTATGTTTTATTAGGACATGGCTGCAAAATAATCACCAACAGGTAAGATGCAGGATACTGAAGCTCCTCTTTAAAAGTTTTCTAACAAAAATCTGTACAGATCTTCACGTTAGGAATTTTGCACATGATAGACTTAAGTATTTAAACTGAAACAAACTTATAAAACGTAGTGATTCGGTATGTACACTTTGCGTGCACACGTGTGTGTAGGACACAATCTTCCTTATTCTGAGATATTCCCGAGTATGGTGAAAGCTGCCTCTGATCCAGTTTTTACTATAAACTGTTTACAAGTCTAGATTTTTCTAAGCTAGGTATATAGTTATAATGGTTTATGGTACTCAAAAGTCGGACTTCCCGTCGCCGTCAAACAATTTTAACGGATTTTATCGCTTTCAAAATGCTCAATGTTTCTAATACTTTCCAGCATTCTTGGTCATAAGTCATATAGAAACATTGATTCAACGTTTTAGTATTTGCTTAAATTTAAGCTTATATGTAACTTGATTCAGTGTTTTTCTGTCCAGTAAATTATTTCGGTAAGTTTTAATATATATATTTAATCCGATAGGTTTAATTTATATTTATCGTTATTAAAGTTTAGTTTTTAAATACTCTGGGAAACTACTAAAATAAACACAAAATAAATTACATAGGTATTTAATTGATTTATTTACAGAAAATATTAGACCAAATCCTATTAAATTTTGGTTGTAACTTCCTATTTAAAGTTAAATAAAATACAGTGGTTATATGTTGTATGGACAAAATCCCCTTCAAGAGAAGCTTCATGCGTGAAACATTATTACGGATCTTGTTTGTGGCAAGAGGATTTTGTTTGGAAACATGTTTAATACATATAGATTAAGCAGTTATGTTGGCATGAGTGCAAATACTATTTAATATAATTGTAATACAAACTTTTTATTTGTGAAAAACATACTCTATAGTTCGCAAGCTTTAACATCAGACTGCCCTCTAATTTATCTCAAGGAGATTATATAATTGCTGACTGTCAAATCCTACAAAAAATGTATAATATAAAAGTTAGTTATTATGTTGAAAGAGCTATAGAAATCTTAAAATTAATATATCAAACAACATTAAAACCTCTATAAGCATCGGTATAAATTCAACTACATTGCAATGCAGTCTTGAAAAAAATTATCTAAAAGGCAGCAATTACTACTTTTTTATAATCCTACTATGTTAGTAAGTACTGACTTCAAACTATACGAGAAGAGTGGAAACTTTTTATTACAATATAATCTCCTTGATCAGTGCATATTTTCCTGCCTACACTGAATACTGCTTGCGGTGCCATGTGACGCTGATATACACTAAGGTAGATCAGGTAGTAGTATCACCAGATATATTTTGACACATTTTCACTCACCAAACTTTTTTATGCATTATTGTGCATTATAGCGTTTTTTTACAAATAACAAATATGTTAAATCTTACTGATGGTTGTTTATTTTTTCGGACACAATTAGGATAAATAATATATTTTTTTATTAATTGAAACTAGTCTACCAATTGTAATATTGAAATTGTAGACGTAATTTCATAGCCAGTTTCTTATTAGAGGACTTGTTATATTTTCTATTTATTTGCCACAAGGCAAAGCATTCATATAAACCTACCTAGCTCTCTAATGTAGTTAAGAACATGGCACCGCAGCAAGAACTTTATGCATTTACTCATATGCTAGCACTGCAAAGCATCTAATTATATGACCGTACATGACTATGTCTACCACTAATTTATAGAATATTACCGGGCAACCAAACTTCCTCAACTCGTAAATAAATAACTAACTTAAAGAACAGAATTAAGTTACACCAACATTGCTAGCTACCTCAGAAAGGAGCGACATTACAAAATTATATTACTAATTATATCACACATTTCAAATTATGTAAAACTTTCAGTATGATATAAGAATAGTATTAAATATTACGCCATTGCAAAAATGATTATCCTAGCTTTTTAATAGCTAGTTTTACTATAGTGAATTTCGTTTGAGACATTTAAACTGAGGTTGGTAAATAAATAAAAATCTTTTGAAAATATAACACTCTAACTTATAGTTAAAGTTTTGTATCAACCAAAACTTAAAATAAGTTGCTATAAAACACAGCTATTCGTTAAAATACCAAAGCGCGAAGCTCCACCAACAAACTTTATCATAGAAGTAATGAATTATGAGCTTGTTTAAGTCTCCGATAGATATCCATTAATGCTGTTGGCATTCAAGCAAACAAACATAATGAGGATCGAATCGAGTAGAGACAATAAGCATTTCTATTTACAAGTAGATTTTAATGAATTTATGTGATTAGCGTAAAAATGACTAATTCTTTGTTGATTGTCATGAATAACCATCAATATCAATGTAATAATAACAACTAAATTATTCATAAACAAATCAAGGTACAGAATTTCAAGAGCGATCATATAAGAAACTGTATTAACTACTGATACCAAATAAAATTATATCTAAACGCTCTTACAAATAAACAATAACTATAAAATAAAACAGAATAATGAAATGTTAAATTATAACACAGCTTTTAACTCCTCACTTCATCGTTCCTATGGGATACAAGACGCATGCTATGTCCCTTTCATTAAAATTATTTAAACTTGGCGTCGCGGTTTGAAGCTATCAAATTAACTAAAAATATCTCAAGTAGACAACATTTATTATTACATTTTAATGGAATGTGACTCCCTAATAGAGTTTTAAGCCTGTAAGAATAGAGAAAAGTTATATTGGTACATAGCATCGTCATGTACACCAAAAGAGACCACAATGAGCCAAAGGAAAAAGTATCAATAAATTATCAAAAACTCGCTTTTTTTCTCTCTTTCAAAATGATTTAAACATTAAAATCGAAACTCATAACATTCTCATTGTAGCTATAATGTGAAAAATAATGATAAACACATCATCGGTGAGTTTAAGTTACTAAAATGGCAATGCTCTTAGCGACACTCCCAAACTTTGACGGTCAGATCGACGCTGCCCGAAATCACATATGGCAAGCTCCTGTGGAAATCTGAAAATAATTTTTAATGGATTAGTATATATACAAATCACAAAACTGCATTCACAGAGAAAAATGAAAAGAACATTTGGATAACCGAGTTACTAATTTAGTTGTCATCAAAACTAAAACTATAATGAGGGAAAATTTATTTTTGTCTGTAATGGGTCACCTTAGTAGCAACACTGAGCTCCCGCGATCAAAATACTCTCATAAAAGTCTGTTGCTCAGATATACAGCGTAGCGTTACCATCGCGACAATAAATGAACATACGTCTAACGCTACTTGCCAATAATCATAAAAAAATATTAACGTTAAACAAAATCCATAATTAAAAAAAAATATTTTTCAAACTAATTAAGTAAAAAAGAAACCAAATTCATTCATATGCTTTGTGACCTTTACAAATGAACTTCACGTTACAGTTTTATACTTAAGGGTGCTCTAAAAATCTTTGATTTGGAAAATTTTATAACTCTGTAAATATTGATGTTTAAAAAATGTAAATGTTTAATACAATTTTAAAAAGTTATCCCATATATGTGTGTTCATTAATTGTCGCGATTGTAAAGACACACTGTATATTCTGACTAAAGTAGATTAAAGATTTAAGCTTGAAAATGATATAATATTCACTTTTATTTATAATAAAATCTTTATTATTAATAAAAATATTTATAATAAATTAGTCTTAAATCCTTAAATATGGATCACAACAATTAAAATTAATGAATAAAAACCAATTCAATATTTAGTGTTACCCACTACTCCTGGCTCTAATCACAATTGCCATATAATAGGCTCTCGTAGATCATTTTTAGTTTCCTGACAATTGCCATCCCTTTCTTCAACGAGTGCGGCTAGAAGCTACGACCTCTCTAGCCTAGCCGCTAGCCTGAACTATTTTTTTATTTCACCTTATAATTTTTTAATAAAAGGCCTGCAATGCATTTACAAGGTGTTGCAGATGTTCATGGGCGGCGGTGATCACTATACATCAGGTGTACCTCTTGCCACTTTTTGTCCCTTTTTTTCCATACAAAATAAATTGAACATCAAAGAGGGCCCAATTTCTGACTGAAATACATGCGATGAATCAGTCATCATTCTGATTTGCACCTTCTTCTATTTGATGCGCATCTATGGTTTAAGCTACAAGATTCCTGACATTGTTGGTTAACTGTCAAGCAGACACAGCAGACTGGCTGGCACATATTTAAAACATAAGTCACTTCTCACTTAAAGGATAAGTACACTGGTTGACGTTTGACTACTAAATAATAAGGATAGGTCAGGTAATTGACCTTTTGTAGAAGGCAGGAACAATCCTTAATTTGCTTTATAAGGGGTTGAAAAATATAACATGTCTTTACATTATTTAAAAGTCAAAAGTTTAATAATTAAAGAAAAAGTTCAGGGATCAGTTATTTTTTTAAGACATTCAACAACATGTTTTATGCTCACGAGTGTGCTCAACAGATTCATGAAAAAAGCATTATCCATGAATTCCTATCAATATGGGTACTATATGGGTTTTAATTAATATCAATATTTTTCTAAGAATTTCGGATTTAACAAAACTTCAATTATCTACTTCGCGTAAGGTACAATAATTATAAGTGGGAAATAACAATAAATTACAGTTCTTCATTTCCATTCGACTACTTTGAAATCTTAGAAGATAATTTTCACTACCTTCTTTGCACAATGAGTATGATGAACATATTTTATATTTTGAATATTATGTTAGATTTACATTTAAAATATCCTATTCTATCACTGGTTAACGAACTGAAATAAGTCCAGTAAAACATGCAATTTAGTCTCAAACATGGATGTAGTGAGTAGCTTAGCTTATACTATAGGCATAATGAAAATTATATGGACCTTCACATAAAGAATATCACTGTTTTGTTCTTTTATTTAATCATTCAGGAAGATTATTTACTTATTAAGAAGACTATTACTTTAGCAAACTGAGTTCGATCCCCAGTGCGGGCACCAATGAAATTGTTAATTTTAAGTGCTGTATTATCACATGCTAAGTAGTGAAGGAAAACATCGTGAGGAAACCTGCATATTTTCGAAATAATAACAAAAAAAAATATTACAAAGATATGTGAAGTCCGCCAGTGTAAGGACATCATCCGCAGTGGGGCCGCGTGGTGGACTATGCCCTGATACTCTCTGTATAGAGGAGACATGTGTCCAGCAGCGGGACATGTATAGGCTGTTATTTTACTTTACTTACTATGGACAACATGGAAGTTGTTACTTCTCGTGAGTGTTCACTATACAAGTCAAGTGCTGAGGAAAGGCCTCTGCGAATCCTCCCTCTCCACTGCGAACTAGCAAACTACACATATATTCGAAATATTTTTTATTTTATTATTTTGGAAATATGCAGGTCACAACTTCACGATGTCATCCTACACCGCTCATGTATTTGTTTTTCGTGTGGATGGGTTTGTGAAGTAAGCCCCAGATCTATTATAGCCTTTTCTTCAAAAACAATGCCTCCTTAGTGTAGGGTAACATTATCCAATGTTGTAAGGACGTTTTACATACATAAATTTTATATGTACAAGTGCCAAGATCTGAAACGATTATCTGTGGGGCACACAAATAGTTGCCTCCTGTGGGAATCGAACCCGCGACCCCAGCCAACGCCTCGGCAGCTGCGCCACGGGGTCACCACCACGGCTTATACTGCGGGGCAACGTTCGGTGCTCACCGAGGCTGGTGGCGAAGTGCTGGTGCGCGTAGAGGGTCTTGAGGCAGCGCGTGTGCGCGACGTCCCACACGCGCAGCGTCTTGTCGTCCGATGCGGTGAGCAGGTAGCGGCCGCCCGGGTGCCACGCGGCGCCCCGCACCCAGTTGTCGTGGCCCACGAGCGTGGCCAGGCACTGGCCGGTGCTCACGTCCCAGATCTGTGCACAGTTGGGGGACCGTCAGATTATTTGATATGCATTTTTTTAATGTGAGAAGGTAGCGAGCGAGCCGACCGGTTCGCGTGAAGTTAAGTGATGACCGATGACCGCCGCCCATGGACATTTGCAACACCGGTATTGTTTCCACCTTTTAATAAGTGGGCCCCGGCTAACCCTTCCACTTCACGCCGGTCTTCTGTGAGGATGTAGTACTTATCGAGATGGAACGTTTGTGTAGCGTATTTATAAGGACGCCGCACTAAAAAACGCCATTGAAGAAAATCAAGTATGACAGACTCAGAACAGACAGTGACGAACAAATTATAGCGCATGGCGAGGAGTGAAAGTTGGTGAGAAGACTGCTTAATGTTAATTTTTTTTTATTTTAATTAAAAAATAACGTTAAACACTAATTTGTTGTTAGTTTCCTTCAATATGAGATGATCTCTTTTGGTTTTGTAATTGTTAAGAACCAGATAATACAGTAAACATTGAAGGAAAAAAAGGTTTTATTTTTTCATCTAGGATCAACTAATAGAAAGAATCTTAGATCATTCTCACTGGGTTGGAAGTAGTTTCCACTCCACGGTTTCTTGAGTGAAGGCGAGATCATCATCTGATAGGCATTTTATTGCGATAGAGCCTCGTAATTAGCTTCTCATACCATATAAAGGGACCGATTCCATCAGGGAAGCTTGACTTTACCATCCCAACCATTGGCAAGAAATGACCATATCATAGACCTTGATGGTAAACGCCTAAAACAGTAATGTTTATATTTTACGTTTTAACCGGTGAGCGCGGTATACCACCAGGCGAAATAACATGGAATTGCAGACAAATATTAATAACAAAGTTATAATTGGTTGCCATGGTAACATTGTGAAGTTGGTCTCGCTTTTAGGTGCCCGCGTATCGTATAGAGGTATATACGTGTGACGGTGGTAGGGCCACGCAGCAGTCTCGGCTGTTGCACGAATGGGCAGACTCGTTTGGGTAAGTACCACGACCTCACAGAAGACCGGCGTAAAGTGGAAGTACAATTCTTTCGCGTTTCGTCTGGTATGGTGGTGGCCGGAGCCGAATTTTCAATGGGTTGTCAACGCATCTGGAACCCTCGGATATAGCAGGTGTCCATGGGCGGCGGTATTCACTTAACATCAGGTGAACCGCCTGCTAGTATGGCAACTTTTCACATCGAAAAAAAAAAAAAAATAAAAAAAAAAGACGACAACCTTGACGGTCTTGTCGCGCGAGCCGCTGGCGAGGAAGGGCCCTGCGTGGTTGGCGCGCCTGTTGTCCCCGCCGGCCGCCTCGTTGATGGCCGCGGCCGCCGCCTCCGGAGCCCACGCCACGCACTCGACCACGTGCTCGTGCTCGCGAAGCTCCATCTGTGCGGCGATCGGTGATTCTCAAATATATTATTATAATGAAACGGGCTTTATTAGACGTGCTGGTTATCGCTTGTACCACCACACCTTTATGTCAATGTGGGATAGATGGGCCTATGTCAAACGGTTGGCGGTTAGGAATGTAAAATAAACTGACCGATGTCAATGATTGCTTTTACTGCACTGAAAAATGTGATAATTATAATTACGAACTAAAGGTCGCGCATACGAGCGCAAGTGTCAATATGACGTGTGTGCAGTTTTGTTATACAATAGAAAATGTACGGCTTTGCCTGTACAATAGACTTAAAAAGTAGTAAATTTACAGCCTATAAATGTCCCACTGCCGGACAAAGGCCTCCTCTGTAGAGAGCGTATATGGGCATAGTTTTGAAATATTTTTCTTTTTTGTTATTATTTCGACAATATGCAAGTTTCCTCACGATGTCTTCACAGCCGAATACGTAATAAATATAAATAGAGTTAATAAATTTAAAATTGAATATAATTCTGAATAATTACTTTAACATTAATTGATTGTATAAGTGAATTCATTCTGCGTTTATCATTCATGTCATATCATTATATTCATGTACTCCTCCCTCTGCTTTCTTCTTTATATCACAAATTCTTGTCGCAATGGTTGTCTGGAAGAAATCGCTTTCAGAGCCAATCGCTCTGGCTATTGTACTTGCTTTTACATTCATTTGTAATTCGCACTTGTTATGTTTTTGGTACAATAAAGTATTTACATAAATTTACTTCAATAGGTACAATCATATCTTATAACCCTAGAGAGGTGAACAGAGGATAACTCGTGCTGTGTACAAAAATATACTTTACTCTATCATGAATGTAACTTGAATAGGTTAAAATTGGTTGTTTTATGGGATTTTTTTTTTAGAGCAAGGGTTTAACAAAATCGTCACCATATAAGGTAGGGGGCAAAAGGAGGGATTCACCTTGCACTCGTTGGCGTTACTGTCCGTATTCCAAATGCGAACGGTTTGATCGTTGGAGCAAGAAGCGAGGAGGCTCCCGTCACCCGAAACGCGCACCATGCGCACCCACTCGCGATGACCCTTGAAAGTCTTCACGCAGTACCTGCGCGTGGAAGGAGACATGAGTTTATTACGTTGTAAAATAGAATTATTTTTAGTACAATTATTTTTTAACACTTCTTAACGGTTATAGGTTGTACAAGTAGATTCCGCTACTGTAGGTTTAACCGTAGAAATACCAGGGTCTCATTGGATATCAGCATAAAGTATTTCATCTCCTGCTTGAAATTATCGTGGGCCATACGTTTAAACCTTGGTAACATGTGTCATGTACATTGTCATTCCCAAGAATTTGAAATGTTCATAGGCAGCAGTAAACACTTAGGCAATGCAATCAGAAATTGAATAATTTATTGTTATATGGGTGCATACATATGAACCTTCCAAATGAATCACTCTATCTAGTAAAAAACCGCATAAAGACCCATTGGGTAGTTTTAAAGATCTAAGCATACATAGGGACCGACAGACAGCGGGACGACTTTTTAGTGATTATTACAGTTGAACAGAGTTAGACTTACCCGGTGGCCACATCCCAGGCCTTGATGGTCTTATCCCGGCTAGCCGAGTAGACCAAATCGCCGCTGGGCGAGAACGCCACTGAAGACACGTTGTGCTCGTGGCCATGCATAGTCTTTATGCACTCGAAAGTCTGGTGGAAATCCCACAGCTTGATCGACATGTCCGCGCTGCACGAAACTGAAACGTACAGTAACAATTGGACATATAAATAAATTTCCTTTCAAATGAAATACTCGATTTTGAAAGTTAAAGTTGATATTTAGCTCCGTCCGTACTATTTTACCAGGGCTTTCCACGGTACGGTTAGTTCCAAAAGGTAAAAAGCTTTTTAACTATATAAGTTCTTTTCTTTACAGCGGTTGCGTCTTTAAGAATTCGTAGCTAGAAGTTACACATACAATCGAGTTATTATCGATAGTTTTTCCGGAGCCGTTCACTCACCAAGCAGCTTGCCATGATGGTCGAATGCGATGTCCTGAACGGAATCGGTGTGCCCCTTAAGGGTTCGTTCGTACACGCCGCTCTCGAACTCCCAAACGCGGATCGTCGCGTCCTCGCTCGAAGACACCATCAAACTGAACACCGGGTGGAAGATTACCTGGAACATTCAAATTGCGCTCGTAAGAAACAAAATTAGTAATAGACTACGTGGGTATAATCTTTTAACTGTTTACATGAAGTCTGCCTATTCTACTAAAAATATTCATTGATAAAATATATTATGTATATAAGCAATACATCATTTAGCTTCAAGTGGTAGGCAAATATGGTCAGTTGTTCAAAAAAGCGATTATATGGTTTTGTGTATTTGTCGGGTGAAGACCAGTTGGTTCATTGAATTCGCCATCCATGTGATAGTTGCATTACCAACCTTTTACATGGTACAGTACAATACTTTCATTCGGTCTTCATTGAGGCCGTGGTACTGTCCCGGACGGGCTATTTATTACATCCGTCCGTGACTCTACCATACTCAAGAAGTCAGAAAATTAATACCTAAAGGATTTAATTTCGCATTCTTATATCGCAAGTAAGTCCCATTTACTAATTAGGCCTTTACTGCAGAGTAATATAATGAATTTTTTGGGGTATGAAATTACATTATGATTATGATACAGTTAGTCTTAACACAAGTAAAAAAAAATCATGTTCCATATATATATAAAAAGAAACTAAAAACTGTTTATAATTAGTTTATAGAAACTATTATGAAACTGAAGCAAATGATAATTATTAAAATACGACTCAACGTGTATACATATAACCACGTAGAGCATGACTTGTAATACGAAACGAAACATTCAAATTTAAATTTCAAAAAATTTCGAGCGACGTTTTTAACGCGAGCTTCGACGGTATATTCCTCGCAAATATTGGCGCTGCAAAGAGACGCCAAATATCTCAATTTGCATATGCAAAAAGAAAGTGCTCAATAAAATTAGTATAAAAGTAAAAGTAGATAATCAAAGTAGCTATATCTGGCGTTACATCACACGTTGGTCTATTTTATAGGTCGACGCGGTATGTGTTAGCGGCTGCGGTCATACTCACCGAACCGAGAATTAAATCTCGATGTATAAGTATAATAATATACTGACTTAGTTTCTTTTTAATTGTTTCTAATTTAATAAAATGAGTCGTTATAGTTTTCAAGTTAATTATATTTATTGCTGTGAGATATCATAACTAAGTCTTTTAATTATAATTTATAAGTAGCGACTCTTACAATGTTTTCGCTTTAGATAATGTTTATTGTTTTCTATGATTTCTGTATTTTTTTGAGAGAATGACCGGACCTTTCTCTCTTGATAATAAAAATGTCCACGTATCACTCTATGTATAGGTGTGCTTACTATTGTTCTTTAAAACAGGTATGAAATTAATAAGCCCTTTAATCGAGGCACTATTTTTATTTTAAACATTTAAGTTCCATAAGCTGTTTTGACTTACTAAAAAAGATAATTAATACAAAGTATGTATATATTATATTTATTTATATATAAAATATGAGTATGTAAGTATGTATATCTTATATTATGTATGTGTGTATGTATCGTGCATTAATATGTTTACTTTATTTTTTTTTTCTGTTGTTGTAAATTTGTTATAAATGCACCTACCCTAACTTTTCTGGACCACCCCAAGGTTGACTGGGAGATAATGCTGATGGCATTAAGTCCGCCTTTGTACACAAATGTTTGTGCAAAAAGTTTAAATAAATAAATAAATAAATAATTGATTTGATCTTGAAAGTTTTACCAAATTGAGACACAACAACGTAAACTTGATATATTGATTTTGATTAAAATACATGAGAGCACTTGTGATTGTTTGTTAACCAAACAAAACTAAACATGACTAAAAGTCAAATGGCCGAAACGATATGATGCACATTTATTTCTACTTATTTATCATTATTTATTGCGATTTATACAGTTACGAATCATGCAGATAATAAGAGCCGCTTGCAAATACGTTCCGTTTGCCGTCCGTACTTATTTCAAGCACACGTAGCAGGCGCACGCACATATACACACGCACGCATGCACAGAGCACGAAACCCATTGGGGAACATTTACGTAAAGAGCGAACGTTAGGAGGGAATTCGAATCTTATTAAGCGTTACTTCGTAGCGATGGCACTGGGTAGCGTGGTTACTAAGATTCGCAACCGAGGGTTGTGGTTTCGTTTCCTGCAAGGCTCAGGTATTAGTGTAACCCAAAGGTAAATTGCGGGTCTGAATGTTTGTTCTCACGGAGAGTTGATGTCAGGCAGGCGACTCGTCATAATAACCTTAGTCGATATCGTTAATAACATGATTCACATAATGTGCCTAACAATAAGGGCAGGAGAAGATTAAGTCGTTACTTAATTAATGCGAGAATTTGGAAGGTTAATAATAGGCTTAGTTCGGTTCTCGCCAACTGGTTTTACAGGGCGCGTGTTGTGGCTTCGATCCTCACATATGACAAGTTTGTGTGATTCATAAATAACTGTTCTGCCCTTGCGAGCTTGGATGCAAATTTTTAGTGTTTTTGTGAGAACTCCTGTGACACAGAAATTATTTCCTTTGGCGGGCACCGTTTAAAAATCGCGATTTTTATTACGGTTGGAATTCAAATTATTATTTAAACGTAGTTCAGGTAAGTTAATATGCCTAGCAGCAGCTTGTTCTCCGATACAAAAAGGTCCGCACGAACAATCAAGTATTACTGCTCGGCGATGTGGCCACAGATGATAAATGAGCTAGCTCAGAAAAAGCCACACGCTAAGTACTAGAATAATTAGTCTCCTTCCGATAAGCAAGATGACCGGAGGGACCATTAGGTGTTGCGGATGTGCACTGGCGGCGAGGTACCCCCCACAAACCGTTAAACCGCTTGTCCATATACCACCGCATTATTTAAAAAAAAGAAAAACAATTTATAGGTCGCGCACAAGATAAGCTCTACTCCGGGAGTTTTCCGTATGAGCCGTTGATTGATAAAATTGAGTTATTAATAAACACTAAAAACTATCATACACCTAAAAAAATCTGTTCGCAACTATACACTATAGTATTGTGAGAGGGAGACAAAAAGCCGTGCGAACGAGACGGCAGCCTCTGCGATACGCACTGCGTAATATCCTGGAGGAGCTTGAGGGGAGATGTAATCTTTAGGCGCTTAGTAATAAATATAAACATCGATATATCGATGTTTTCAAAAATATCTATATCGTCCTCGAGGAAAAAATATCAATATATCGATATTTTGTCTTCATCCCTAGAATAGCGTAATCATTTCGCCCTAACCTTCGTAATGGTCGCCCGGTGTCCGGTGAGGCAGAACTTCTCGGGGGGCCGGGGGATCCACTCAGCTGGCGTGCGTTTGCCTCGAGTGGGGGCGCCCTCCATGAACTCCTTCTGAGCCTCAGAAAGCTTCGATTCCAATTCCATAACCTGTAAAGAAAGTACAACATTTATATGACGTACCGTAGTTGCGCGGAACATTGGTTAGACTGAATAAAAAAAAAAAAACATATGAATAAACACATTTGATTACAAAACAGTTTCAAAAGCATTAAATATCGCTTGGTCAAGGCTATTTAATATTTAAGTAATTTTATATTTCACATCGTTTGAAATATAAAATAACTTAAACAATAGTGGAGATAAAAGTATTTTAATACAATTTTGAAAGCTCATGAGGCATTTTTTACTCATTGAATATTGTTTAGGGTGTTGAATAAGAATGCTTATTATTTTTGTTATATAGCGGGAGGTAATGATAATTTAAATTTTATGCTCGCTGAATGTTGTTAATCGCTTACACGTTAATTGGTATCATCAAATTATTGAAATTTATTCTAGGGTACTTACGGAATATATATAACTAAGTAGCAGGAATTAATCTAGGTTTTATTTTGTATGATTCAAGTGGAGTTGACATTCATTGCGGCAAAAGATTCATTACTTATGCAACAATAATTATCACTATATTATCGAATTAATCCACTGAAGTCGACGTTTCTCAATTAAGAATGAAATAAGTACCTAGGCTGATAGGTGGTAGGGCTACACAACAGTGTTCGGTGTTCGTATGAATGGGCAGGTCCGTTTTTAGTACGTTTGATTACCACGACCTCACAGAAGACCGGCGTGAAGAGTTACACTTCAACAGGTATTCTTAGTAGGTACACAGTTCTCTATCGCTCAATACTTATTATTTATAACTTACCTATGGTACCTACTTTTTTATTAAGATTCATAGTCATTTTATAAATACTAAATGAATAAAGTAATACCAATATCTTACTCTCTTTTTTTTTCTGGATTGTACAATTTTCCATTTTATTTAGGTAATCGATCAGAAAAATGATGACTGTATTTATATTATGTAAGTTCTTACATTATGGAGCTTTCAAAGTTTCAATAAAACAGCAGCTATTCGTCCCGTTTCCATAATATGCTGATTTAAAAGTTCGGCCTCTAGCATCAGAGTATGCGGACGTTGCTGGCGACCTAGAAACTTCGACATACCGATCGATCCATCCCGCTGCCTAGACCGAATGGCTTCTGCTGGGCGTACAATTTTCATCAAGCTGGCTTATTTTTAATTACATATTTTTTTTTAAATTTTAGATATTAAAATGAAACGCGCCAAAATAAAATATAAAAAAATGTTATAATTTGGCGTTAAGATAAGATGCTCACGCCTGTTACAAGGTCTTCTACTACCAAGAGGCAAGGATGGTGGGACGCTTAGAAGCATGATATCAAAACGTGTGTCCTATACCTAAACGAAACAGATGTTTGAAATTACAAGTGTAATATATTTTGGTGCTTTTATGTTTTATTTTGTCAACATTATCACCAATACCGTCCCGTCGTTCCCTTCGCCGTCGAGAGAACGCGGTATAAAATAGATTACAACTTGAATGTGCTGGCAACAATTAGTGGTGTATAGTTCGTCGAACGACGAATTATTTGTATGACCAAGGCAGCAAAAAGCGAAAATTATTTAAAAAGCTCATTACTCATGTACGTGCCAGCACTTCACAGCCTTCTAGAACATTTCTACTAGCAGTACTTCTATTAGAACCAGGTTAAACGGCAGGTGCAAACTCACCTTCTTCTGCAGCCTGATGACGGAGGTCCACTTCTTCTCCAGCAGGCCGCCGAACTTGCGATCCATCTCGCCGGTCATTTCGGCCTCCTTCTTGAACGCTTCCAGCGCGTCCGTGTAGCCATTGCTGCCCAAATAATCGGCGATCGCTTTGTTCCTGAAATGAATATTTTAATTGTAATCTAAATTGAACAATATTGACCACATTTCTTTTAAAAAAAAAAAGATAAGACACGAGGTCTGATTAAATAAGAAATGATCTCAGAAAAAAACACTCATTTGATTGCAGTATCGTTGTTTACTTTTATGAGAGTGGGTCCAAATTACCTAACTCAACAGATCAAAAGTATGACTTTTACTTTACACTCTTTTTTGCCAGGCTGTGGTAGCTACTTCGACAGACCGTAAAAAGAAAGAATATATTTAAAAAAGTTTACATATATTACCAAAGCCTCATGTGAATCCTCGATATACGTACGTAATATGTATAATACAATATATAGGTATATAAAACGTAATAAAGAAAAAACTGTTTGCGTGGGATAGAGATGACGCTATTTGATTATTGATTAAGCTACCATAACTGTGGTAGGGCCACGCAACAGTTCACTGTTGCACGAATGGGCAGGTTCGTCCGGGTAAGTACCACGACCTCACAGAATAACAGCGTAAAGTAGAAGTGTTACACTTCTGCGTTTTGGTGAGTGAGGTGGCTGGGTCCCACTTTATTCAAAGGTGGCAATGCATTTGCAACCCTACACATGTTTCAAATATTATATTTGCCACTTTCTCACATAAACCAAACCCAAGGAAGTAAGATTAACCCCAAAGGAAGTAAGATTTAGCAAGTAGAGTATTACGACGGTATTAAGGTTTGAAGAGGTTAAAAAGTTATACACGTGAACAATTCATTTTAACTGCTGTATCGGCCTATTAAATCATCCTATTCAATCAATCACATCCTAACGGACGATTAGTTTTCATTTCAGATGGACACGATGAACAAACATAATTTCAGGGCTGCATTGCGTTCTCATATGGTGAACGATATCTTTGTAATGCGGCAGAGTTATTTGACGTGGATTATTTAATATACTACTCAGCTTATGTCCGCATAAAGACTTAAAACGAATATATTTTGTTTCGGTAGTTTTACAACTAGCGTCTAACAAAATAAAGATTAAAATAATTATATTTTTCTCAAAATCAAAGCTAACAGCGTCAACTACAATAACAATTTAAGACTAATCAAATCATTACTATTAACAATGTTATTTAGCAAAAGTGGAATAAAATAACATAACAGATGCCATTATTGATTCCGGACATTATTTCTGAGGGTAAGGGTAATGAAAAATCGGGTCTCAAGTTAGAGGTTGTCGTTACCGCGGGGGGCGTTTCACCGATATCATTTCCCAAACCTAATACAATGGAATACTCATATATTATATGATATATAATGTATATAAATATGGATAAACAAAAGAGGACTGAATAACAAAAACTTGAAACGTGCAAAACTTAGTTGCGACAGTCGCGGTGTCGAAACTTATCGCTTAGCGACGGCGCTAGCCGGGCCATCAATTATTACATTAGTGACGCAAAAAATTCTTAAACATAAAAATCACGAAGTTTCTAGAAGACGGTGGATTAAAATAATCTAGCGATTACCAAACATTGCCCCCGTTGTTGCGAGGCGGTGGCGGCGGGCGTTTGCTTATGCCCTTCCGAGCGGAATCCCCGATTACCACGAGTGAATACTTACAAGTGACGGAGCGGCTAATAAAATTCGAACTTGTCCCAGTTAGATAAGACGGTTTTGTTGTGGAATCGTAACAAAGTGAGCGAGCCGAAACGTGTCGGTTACCATAAGCGCGAATTAGACCTTTGACGAGGTGTGAGAAATAACTTCAAACTCTTCGCAATAGCATAATAATGAGAATATTATTAGAACATGTGCTTGGCAATATACAAAAGATCCATTGCTAGATATCGTTCGCGCCGTCTTGATTGCGAAGTGCACAGAACATTACTAATATTGCTAATATATTAATGCAATTCAACAATAACAATAACTCATGTATCAATATCGTTATGTACCTATATATTTTATATTTTTATAAACTTTTCGTAAGTGCATGTAAATGTCTACAACAAGCAACCTTTGGCGTGGTAAGACAGTAGAAAGAGTTCACGTCATTAAAAAATCGTAAACATAAAATTCAAACTAAATATTAGAGTGAGAAAAAAAAACGGAAAGTTGTGCTTAGTGAGAACCAATAAAGAACTAGTTAATAGAGTCAAGAGACTCCCTTTATTTTTCCAGTCGTCTTTTGCTGAACACGAAAAACGTTAAAAGCTACGTTAGCCTGCCAAGATACGGCAGGTATTATCCAACATATAATTAATAATCTATACTAATAAATAGAGAGCCGGTTTTTGTTTCGGTTATACTGCGAAAACAACTGAACCGATGGGAATAATAATTATACCATAAAAAGCAGCGTGTTTCTGTTGAAAGGTTTTAGTATATTAATTGTATTTATATCAAATTAGCAGATCTATCACAATTTTCGCGGACGACGTCGCGGGCGAAATGCTTGTATTATAATATTGAATTCAAAGTGTAGGAAAACTTAAATGTAAACGATCTCTCGATTGAGTCATTGACATCTAATATAAACTATGCATATATGTACGTATTGTGTGCAAAATGTGAAAAAAATTATTGCTGTTAACTTTCTTTGGGTTGAATTTTACAATTAAATACGTTTGATTCGATTTATGATACAATATGTTTGATTGAAATTGTATTATACATATAAATAGAATAATTTTAAAGATCTTTAAGTTTTATTATCCATAATTGATCCAATACAGTAAGTCCGTATCGATAAGAACATGGAATCTAAAAGTAGCTTTTGCTTCACAGACCTTTTAAACAAACAGTGAATGTACTGTACATTGTTGGCAATTCAAATAAGCATAACGAACGTGAAAAAAAGAAACAGATAACAGAATATGTGGAGCAGACCAGAAATATTACAAACCTAAGGAATTGTTCTTATTTCTGCTTTCTAAGAGAAACGCATGTGTGTGGTATTGTCGTCGTATAACTTATCTTTTACACGTTGTCATGTACAACCCTATCGATTGATTGCATTTTTTCGATCTAACCAATAAAACCACAGTCTCAAACAACATTTAGTATCCCGCGTTCTTATTTTGTTAAATAATCTCTGTAACAGTACAACATGATATCTGTTACGAATTAGTTAGCGTAAGAAAAAAAAATCAATTATTTGCGTTTCGATATAACGCTTTCCCCCGATCGATCATTGACGTTTATTGATATTCTATTTCAATACAATCTCTCTAGCAATTTGTCACAACCATAATTGACTTTATGGAATGAGTCCTAAAAAACACGAGATAAACGTATTGGTCGGTCTGAGAGGAAAAAAAGACGACATAATGACACGGATAAGAAGTAATCGTAGAGATATTCCGTTGGTGGCGTCTCTATTGTGCAAAATTCATTTCTCGCTTGTTATATATCAAGTTTCGATATCTACACGGTGAAACTGAATCGAATGTAAAGACAATCTAAGGCGGCCCATTGTTTGTGTGGGAGCCAATCAAGGTTGTTTTTTTCTACGGGTGGAAAGCTCGAACGCGTGGGTAGCGAATCACGTGACCACCGATCGACTATCCAAAATCAGACTTCAAAGAAGCAATGTTTTTAATTTAGTCTTCTTCTACAACGAAAGAGCCGATCTTATCAATACTAGGTCGGAATTGCTTAAGCTTGACAAGGATAATGGGATTAAAACAAACACGGATTAGGGGGCAACGAACCAAATGTTTAACATACAAAACATTTTGCATATTCTGTTTCGCTGTGTCAAATCTAACTAAAATTGTTACAAAGCTATTAAACTGCCTACTATTCGCTGTGACGGTCAAATTTTAAAGCCACTATTTTAAAAATACGTACGATATATTTATCCTATTCAAAATTAGATTAATATTAATCACAATCAAGGTTCTCACGTAATGTTGACCGGTATGATCCAAACATTCATTTCATTTAAAAAAAAAACAGCCACATTCGCTTATGTCAATCTTCAGCCTTATCCGCTGACCTGTTAAGCGGATTCCGAACGAATGGTAAAGTTCAGTTGCAATGATGCCGCGTAGCGAAAGTGGTGCGGCGCGACGAGGTAGCTTTGTACACTCGAGAAATTAACTTTCACGGTACATTCCCGACGATACGCCTACTATCGAAGGGCACTTGCCGCCGGTAAGCCACCGCAGGTGAACGGTCTCCCAATACAGGTGAACGGTTTTCCATTGCAGGTGAACGGTTTGCCATTGCAGGTGAATTGTTTGACATTCCATCATGGCAATTTAAATAAATTCGATTAAACGATTAAGGAAGGAGGTACGAACGGTTAAGGAGGAATGCCGATGCTCCTTGTTTGTGTCGTTTAACTTTCAGTATTAATTAGACGACGCTAGAACCATAGTGATCTAAGAGACATTTTTTATCAATTAATGGGTTTGTTACACAATGGCATACAAGAATCATAATTATTTCATAGCACACTGATCCCAATGGGCAGCATGCTCAGTACTTCATTGTTTAAGGGATCACTATATCTCTGCTCGAGTAATTGAATGTTAAATGAGGCGCACTTAGATCACTGTGGTCTCAAGTTTACCTGTTCATTCATTGTGTCGACTTCTGTTTAGCCTTTTGTTTCAATTCTATATCTAGAGGTTCTGCCCCTGCTTCGTCGGGGTGGATTTTAATGGCAGAATATTGTAATAATGCAAATTTCGTGAGGACTTCACTTTTCAATAGATTTCAAAAAGGAGGAGGTTATGAATTCGGTCGTATGTTTGTTATCTCAGAACTTCATTTATGAACCGATTTTAAAAATTCTTTTTTTTGCATAGAGTTTCGGTTTAGCACCACTGTGGTGTTGTCCTGTATTATTTAAGTACTCCTCAAAATAAAACAGAAAACTTTAGACCGTGGTCAGAATAAAATAGGCAGTCGACTAGTGTACATTACCAAAACATGAAAGCAATGCTTACTCCTCTATTACAATAAATAAACAGCTTTGATAAGTGAATATTTGCCTTAGAAAT